TCAAAGAGGTGTGCCAAACAGCCGAGAGGGGGTGGAGGTGCTGGACTCTTTGGCCTCTCCAAGCGTCTGCCAGGCTCCGGTGCTGGGATGGGGCAAAGCTGCACAAGGGGGAGGGATTGGCAATGCCAGGGACTGAGAGAGCCTGAAACTCTTGGCCCTTAGCTCCCACCCCTTTCCAAAGCGGCGCTCCCCTATGTCCCAGGCTCTCTCCTCTGGATGTTGCTGTGCCTCCCCCGCCCCAACACCAAGGAGGGCTCATTCTTGGGAGAAGCTGTCTTCTGATAGCTTCTCCCTTCCCAGCTGCTCCGCCCTCCCGCTGAGAGTCTGCTTCCCCAGCTTTCTCCTTTACACTTTGCCTATATATTGTTCCAGCCAACCGGTTCTTTCAAAGGCCTCCCGTTTCATCTCCTAATTAATTTTCCTCTTCCAACACAGGAGATGCCGTTTGTGATGTCCGCCGCCCCTGACAACTCTTCAAATGAATTTTCCTTTGGAATGATGGGGCCGCCTCCAGCCATACATCTCCTGGGCTGCGGGTGGGGGAGGGGAGCTCCCCCGGGAGAGCCCAACACCCCACTTCCTGCTGTTGTCTTTGAACTGGAATGAATGGGTTCTCCCCACGGAGTTCTACTCTCTGTTCGGGGGCTTTGTAAGGTGGTTTGCAGCCTAAGCAGGAACACAGGTTAACCTCAGCACTGAAGTTCATCTGCCCTGGACTCTGAGACACTCAGGGGTGCTCCCTGCTCTGTTCCTGCCCTCAACAGGCCTCCTGCATTTGCCCCACTCGGATCCTGTCATCTTTTAACTCCATCCTTTAATTCAACAAGGGCACACATGAACGCACACACACACACACACACACACACTTGGTTATCCAATAGACAGTCTCATTTATTATTTGAGCAACTCTTCTAGGCTGGGGATCTGGCTCAACGGACAGTGGCTTCACTCTTGCCCAACTGACTCCTGGACTGCCTGGCTCTTCAGGGAGGTTCTATGGACACAGTGACAAAGAGCACTGGCGCTAGAGCCAGAGGGCTTGGGTTCAAATCCCAGCTCTGCCTTTCACTAGCTGGATGCAGGACAAGTCAGCCTTAATCAGGTTACTTTCTGAGGCTGCTTTCATCACGTGCACGATGGAGGCGATAACAATAGCTCTGACCTTCTAACAGTTGAGAGAACGACATGAGTGAAAACAATAGTCCTCCCTTATCCGCGGTTTCAGTTATCCACGGTCAACCATGGTCCTAAAATATGAAATGGAAAACTCCATAAATAAGTGACGCGTGCGTTTTAGAGTGCATATCGTCTGAGTGGTGTGATGAAATCGCAAGCGTTCCTGCCCCGTCCTGTGCAGAACACGAGTCATCCCATACACGCACGCTGCATATGCTCCAGGTAGTCACTTAGTGGCCATCCCAGTGATCAGACCCACTGTCACGTGGTTGCAGTGCTTGTGGTTAAGTAACCCTTATTTTGCTTACTAATGGCCCCAAAGCACGCGAGTAGTGATGCTACCAATTTGGATATGCCCAAGAGAAGCTGTAAATTACATGCATGACCAGGAAAAATCATAGAACATACAGGGTTCTGTACTATCTATGGTTTCAGACATCCACTGGGGGTCTTGGAATGTGTCCCTGTGAATAAGGGGGACCATTGTACAGGCAAAGTGCTTGTGACATTGCCTGGCATCTAGTAAGTGCTCAATAAATGTTATTATTAGTCTCCTAGACATCATGTGCGTACTGCTGGCACTGACCCCTGTTCAAACCCAGTGCCAACCTGGCCATGTCCACTCACGGGCAAGGGAGGCACAATCCCTCCAGAAGAAGACCCCAGAGTGGGTGTGAGAGAGGACAGTTCGTGTGCAGACAGAACATCCGGCCTCACATCCCAGTTCCGCCACCAATCCGCTGTGTGATTGCGGGCCAATCACCCAGCCCCTCCATTTCTCTAGGTTTAACCCAGGTTTTCTTCCAGCTCTAACGTGGGAGTGACCATGAGGCCATAGCCTAGCCTGGGATAGGGAGGTGTGACTATGGAGGGAAGAGGGGCAGGGAGAATAAGTTTGTCCAGGGATCTTCAGGGAGGGAGCTGTGTGCTTTCTGCTTCTCATGTGGGGTGGGGCTAATGTATCCACACTTGAGTCCTCTCAGCTACATACAGTCCCACAGCTGCTGCGAAGACAGGAGCCTGGACAAGGAGAGCATTAAAGCAGGAGACAGGAAGTTGGACTTCAAGAGGAATTAATTGGGGATCCGAGAGGAAGGAAGTGGAGCTGGTCCTGCTGGGGGACTTGGAGTTGCTGTTTCTGGCCGAAGGCCCTGATGAGGACAGGCCCTTGAACCCCAGCATCTCAGCTGGGTGGCCGCATCTGAGTCCCTCCACTGTCCTCCTCCCTATGCCATTTGCAGAGAAGGTGGATGAGGGCAGAGCGGGCTGCAGGAGGTGCTGCTTGATGCTTAGGACAGCAGCTCAGTGGGGAGCTGGGACTAGGCTCTGGGAAGCCAATCTGAGCATCTTAGAATGGAGGGAGGCAAGGACATCCAATCAGCAGCAATGAGCCTGCACTGGCCTTATTTATGCTGCTTCCCTTTGATCGGGAGCCCTGCTTGGAGATGCGCTCATGAGTAATGCATGAGGGATGCTCTGGCACAGTCAAAGGGCTAGGCCACAGCCTGAGGAGAGGCACGAGCAGGCACACACACACAGATGCATACATGCACACTCATACATGGACCATTACAAACACATGTAGACGCACATGCATGCAGGGGCCATCACATGCACACAAAAGCTATTATACACACATGAATGGGCCACTACACAACACATGAGCAATCACATATACACAGGCACATCCTCCCTCTCAACACTAATTTAGGCACACCCATGGGGACATTTAAACAGATGGACATGCATATATTCTTCACACATATATACATATAGACACCCTGGCACACATTTGTAAACATTTATAAGCACATATCCACACACCCAGGTCACAGAGATACATATACACATATGCTCACCAGTACACACACATATGTGCAGATACTCAAGTTCACACACAAATACACATGCTCCCACACAGGCAGACTCTGTGCATGGGCACAAGTGTGCACACATACATGTATTATATATTGCTATATGAACACATAAATGTAACACATGCTCACCTACTGCTCACACTCATGAACAAACAAAGGGTCCCAGAGAACTCCTAACACACCTGTGACCACACTTTTCTCTTTCCTTCACTCTAAATACATGGTAGTGCCCTCTGAGGAAGGCCACGCCTGCCGTTTCACAGTGGCAGTAGCAACATCTGAGACAGCAGCTCCTTTCCTCCTCCCTCTTCTCTTCGCTAAGCAGGTGCTTCCATCCTCAAAGAGGGAGCGGGGGAATAGGGGTGGGACAGAGTCCCGGTGGGGCTCCAGTACCCAGGAGGCAGAAGGCTTTCCCACCAACCCCTTCTTCCCTCCTCACTCAGGCCCCATTGGAGGCTCAATCCTTCACTCAGAGGATTAGCCTGGAAGGAGGCAAGGGCAGGGGCTGGGGCTGGGGAGCCAGGGCCCAGAGGAAAGGGACATACACCAGACTTCAGACTGATCGAGAACAGCTAATAAAGAAATGAATGAACAAATGGACCAATAGCCCCAGAGTCCCAAATCCTGACCTTTTCTGAGAAATAATTGGGATAGTGGTTCTCAAAGTGTGGTCCTTGGACGAGCAGCATTACCTGCGAATTTGTTAGGAATGCACATGGCCCCACCCTGGGCCCCCTGACCCAGAAACTCTGGGTTTGCCCAGAAACCTGGGTTTGCCCAGCCTTCCTGGTGATTTGGATGCACACTCAAGTCTGAGAGCCATGGCCTAAATTAGTGGTCGGCAAACTGCGGCTCGAGAGCCACATGCGGCTCTTTGGCCCCTTGAGTGTGGCTCTTACACAAAATACCATGTGCGGACACGCACATACAGTATGATTGAAACTTCATGGTCCATGCGCAGAAGTTGGTTTTCGGCTCTCTAAAGAAATTTCAATCGTTGTACTGTTGATATTTGGCTCTGTTGACTAATGAGTTTGCTGACCACTGACCTAAACCATGGGCCTTGGAGGAAGGCAGACCTGGGTCAGCATCTGGCTTCTTCAGCTGTGAGTGCTTGGACAAGCCACTTAACTACTCTGAGCCTCAGTTTCCACATGAGTAGAGTGGAAGTAGTACCCACTCACAGGATTTGTCAAGAAGGTTAAATGAGGCAACCGTTTAGCACAGCGCCTGGCTCGCTGTGAGCTCTCGGTGGTGGTAGCTGTCGTTATGACCACTTTAATTTCCAGAATAACATTTACAGCTACTGGTTTTCAGGGTCAGTCTGTTAACCCTCTGCTACTCTAGCAGAAGGTGTAAAAACATTGGGAACTGAGCCATCACCTTACAAAGCAGGAGAGGCAGCAGAGTCATGGCCAGATTCCCATGAGAGCAGTAACCGGAGCAGGCGACAGCGGCTTTTTCTAGACACGAGTATTCTTAGAGTGTAACACGCTAAGGAATGTTTGTAAACACTCTCTTCCAAGGAATAGAGGAGGATGTGCCCCCTTCTGCCGTCTAAGTGCGAAAGAGCTCACTGCAAGCCCAGGCCAGCCTCATGGAGGAGGTGGATGCCACTGAGACTCAAAGTCAAGGGCAAGGATGCCACTGGCCCTGGGGCCTGTTTTTGCATCTGGCCTCACTTCCTCCTCCAACCCCGTCTCCCCACCTGCCCTCGGATGATTTAGGAAACAATGCACACTCACAATGCTTGTCCCAGGCATGAAAACTTCTAGGATCTATGATGGGACCAACCCAGGTGGCCACATCACCATCACCCTCAAAAGTTAATGATCCCCAAGAGGGAGGGACAAAACCCTTGGGATTTCTGGCCCCGGCTCTGTGTGGTGAGGGAAGGCCAGTAAAGGGTCAGCTTGTGGTGCTGCAGCAGGAGGGAGAGGGCCTCACCTTGAAGAAGGTCATGGTGGCCCCATCCTTGACGGCCCCATACTCGATTTTGGTTTGCTTGGCCAGGTCATCCGCAGAGTCGATGGGCGATTCCATGCGCTCCACAGTCAGGAAGGCGGCCAGGTTGGCCGTGTAGGAGGAGATGATGATGAGCGTGAAGAACCACCAGATGCCACCGATGATGCGCGTGGACAGGGCTTTGGGCATCAGTTCAGACCCTGGGAGAAGGGAAGAGACAGGTGACTTCTGACCAGACCAGGGCTGTTCGGGTCCTCTGGGTTGGGGACTCCACTGACAAGCGGATGAAAGCCGAGGCTCTTACCCTTGACCAGTGTTCTCAGACTGTGGGCCCTGGGCCAGTAGCATCCGCATCACCTGGGAACTCGTTAGCAATGCACATCCTCAGGCCGCGTCCCAGGACTTACTAAGCCAGTAACCTCAGGGGTGGCGCCCCTCCACCTGGGCTTGATGAGCCCTCCAGGTGATTCCACTCAGGCTGAAATGTAAGAACTGCTGCTCTAGAACCGCAGGCACATGCTCAGCATTTCACAGGCCTGCCAGACCTTCTGATGCATGTCCACAGGCCCCTGGATGGCCCCAGGTTCTGAACACCTGGGAGTCAGGACCCTTAAGATCTGTAGTGAATTCTGCTCCTGACTCTCTGCATGATCTTGGGCCAGACATCTCCCCTCTCTGGGACTCTGCAAAGCACCTCCCTCCTCTTCCCAGCCTCACACAAATACTGTGATTCTGCGATGATATAATTTGAGGAGAAATTGTGTTGGAAATACAATTGGTATACAAATACAAGATTGCTATGCGGGGCTTTGCAGGAAGAGAAAATCAACATTTTTTGAAGCTCTTTGCAGAAATAGATAACTCTTCCTCCCCGACCTTGGGTGTGGAGCACAATTTAGACGAAACCTTCTAACTGAAGTAATTAACTGGGCGGCTTTCAAGAGATTTAAATAGCAAGTGACTCCTGAACTTTTCAGAATATTTGGACCTGCCATCTGAAAAGCGTCTGCTTTGATATGGATGATTTTTTTTTTCTTTATCAAAGAAATCACTCAAGGGAGAGGTTTTCAAATACACAACTATTTTTCTCCCTCTTAATGAAAACCTTGCGGGAATACACAAGGGGCCAGGGCTTTGAATAGCAGCGGGAGATGAAGAAGAGAGGCTATTACTGCACTGAGGGGTTTCCAGGTCTTTCCCAACTGTCACTGCGCAAAGATGATGGACGAAGAAGCAAGGTGAGGCTTCAGGACACTCATTAATAGCGGGGACAGCTCGAGGCACTTCCCTTGAGAGCTGCCTGTCACTTCCCACCAGCTCCTTAGCTTCCTCACCAGCCAGCACCTCACCGCCCCCCCCCCCCCCAGTCCCACCTGCCTGGCCCTCCCCCAGACTGGAGGGCTAATGCTGCCCCCAAGGGGAGAATGACTTAGTTATTTGCTTGGTGAGCTTTGCCAGACTCTGTTGGACCCCTACCCACGCCCAAGTCCCTACCCCGGGCTCTGTCATGGATGGGAAATCATCGGGAAGGGGGTAGGCGCAGTATTTATCTTTCCTCATCCTTCTTCATTCAAGCGCCCAGCACAGGGCTTGGCAGGTAGTGGGCACTCAGGACCCACTGGATAATACCATTCACTCACTCATTCATCCACCCAATACGCATTTTCTGGTGGATGTCTACTGAGGACCTGGGCTTGTGCTGGGCCTTGAGGATACACAGGGATGAGTGAGGGACAAGGACATTTTCTTGGGATCCTCTTCCCTCTGAGCCATGTTTCCTTGTCACTCGATGTCCCCTAGAGATTTGGGTTCCCCCATTTCCTAAGATGAACTGATAAGCAGAAGCAATGGGCACACGTTCCCCCTGAGGGTGTTTGCTGGGGGACCCCGTTCCCGGTGCCGCCTCTAGCCCAGGGCGTCTCTTCCCACATCCTCGAAGCCGGAGCAGATGCTCTGCTTTCTGAGATATGTGCGCAGCTGTACCTGTTTCCAGAGGGTGGGCCACCAGCCCAAGGCCAGGTTCACGGCCCTCCCTCCACAGGATGTTAAGGACCCGTGTCCTTCCATGTATCCCACCTCTCATGTGTTCAGGCTGAAGTCCAACCTCAGCCATGACCCTTCCTCTTCCCTGGCTCCCCACAGCCAGGTGTCACGGAGCCCTGTTCCTGCTGCATCCTGGCATCCTCTTAGTCCATCTCTGCCTTTTACCCCCATGGCCACTGCCCCAGGTCAGATCTCACTATCTCCTTCCTGCAATGGCCTCCCATCAGCCTCCCAAACACTTCCCTGCCTCCACTTTCCCCTCCTCAGCCCAACTTTGTTCAGCCTGATGCTATGGTGGTGAGGCCATCAGTGGGTCAGCCTCAGTAAGAAGGATGCTCTATGTCCACCTCAGTTGGAGCAGGAGATGCTGGGGATGAGCCCTGCCCGACATGGGCGGGGGCAGCTTATCTGCTTTAAGCCTAGAGCCTGAGCTGGCCCAGACACAGCTGTGGTGAAGGGTGGGGCCCTGGGGCAAGGGCACACACCTGGTGTCCAGGTGTCGCCAACCCTGTGATGGCTCAGCAGGTCTGAGGCTGACTCTGCTGACTCCATAAAGGCTGAGCCTCCCCCAGGGAGGAGAGGTCCCCTGGGGAGTGGAGACGCCCCCTGGGGAGAGGGCACGTACCTTGCTGCATCAGAGACCCCATTCCGAACCAGAAGCTGTTCAGCAGCGTGAAGTTGTTTTCCACCACCTCGGAGCCAGAGTTGCAGGGGTGAGCATCGTACCACTCGTAAGGGCTGAACCTGCGGGGAGGACAGGGGAGCAGTGAGGCGGAGCGGCAGGGCGCGGGCGGGAGGGAGGGGGGTCCGTCACGCCACGCCGGCTGGTGGTTTAGCAAACACTGAAGTGCCGGCCACTTGAGCATCCATTCCCACATTGTTCTGCCGGGGAGGCAGGGATGGGGAATCAGGGCCGTTTTGTTTCGTTCTTTATGGCTAGTGGCTTTCGCTGGTTATAAAAGTAATTCAGTAGCATCTCTTAAAATTAAAAGTGCACAGGCCCTCCAACCTAGCAATTCTGCGACTCATTATCCGTCCTAGAAAAAACACGGCTACACGACCATAAAGAGAAGCGCGCGGAGGTGTTTATCAAAGCACTGCTTGTAATAGAAAAACAAAACAAAACGGGAAACAACTGAAATGTCCTTCAATAGAGGAACGGTGAAATCAACTCTGCCACGCCGTGCTCTGAAACATCACGCAGCTGATAGGGGAGGACGAGGTACTTCTAGATGTACCGACAGGGAAAGATCTTCAACACACATTTGGTAAAAAAAAAAAGAGTGATAAAAATAAGAACAATAGAATCGCACTTATGTAAATAGAGTCCCGAAGACACAGCCATCTACCTCTTTATGTACATTTGTATTTAAATGCATATAAAACATCTGTGAGAATCCAATTCTAAAAAGTATCAGTGTTTTTCCTCTGGGGAGGGAATTCAGAATGGCAGAGGAATTTGAGGGAAGCCTTTTGCTCTATAGGTATTATATGAATTTTTATTTTTTTAATCCTCACCCGAGGGCGTGCTTAGAGAGAGGATGGGAAGGAGGGCAAAGCAGGCGGGGTGGGAGGAGAGGAGGGGAGGGAGAAACATGGATAGGCTGCCTTCCATAGGTGCCCCGACTGAAGATCAAACCTGGAATCTGGTCTTGTGCCCTGACTGGGTATCAATTCAGCCACCTTTTGGTGTACAGGACAGAGCTCAACTTACAGAGCAGGTCAGGCGTATAGTATAAATTTTTAAAAATGAGAATGGGCTTTGGAATGATTTGTAATCGCATTTATCCATTTATTATTATGTATTGCTATTTTTCTTATTTATTTATATTTGTAATTATTCATGTATTACTTAAAAACTTAAAGTAAAAACAAAAGTGAAGTACATTCTCTGTGAAGTATCCAAAGAGCATAGAATACAGTGAGAAAGTAAAAGTACTCCAGGATCCCAGCCTCCTGGAGAGAACAATGCGCTATCCAATTTTTAAGGTTTTCTTCTCTGAAGATACAAATGCATGTATGACAGGGAGAAACTGCTACTGTAAGTGTAAACCCCCACTGCCTTCTGAGGAGGAGAAGTCCTGGCAGGTGGGGGCATCGTCTTTGTATATGGCCCACGTTCCCGTGGAGGAAATGAAGGGTGGGGGAAGCTAGAGCTTCTGAGAGACAGAAAGACCCTGGGAAGTCCCCATGAGACTGGGATGGCTGGTGTGGCCGGAAGCAGCATATCCTGGTGGCAGGAAAGGCCTTCCTCAATGCTCACGCCCTGGTGCTAGGCAGGCACAAGCCAGGCCTGGCCATTGGCAAGGCAGGCAGCCCTGAGCTGAGCCACAGGCCGTGGAGGGGATCTGGGAGCTTGCCGCCTCACAGGCCCCAGCTCTGGGCGGCTGTGTCCAGCTCTCCAGCAGCCAGCACGCAGTGACCCCAAGGACACAGGCCACGTGGAGAATGGGGCTGAGGGTGAAGGGCGGAGGGGGCAGAGAGAAACATGGATGGGCTGTGCTTGACCCTGGCAGTGTTGTAAAAATATCGAATGAGTGGCTACACATAAAAGCCAAGAGGTGTCACATGAAAGCCTGAATCTCTAAAAACCACGAACCCTGCAGCGCTGGCACAGCATCCTGCCGCGCGAAGCTGTGGGAGCTGAGTAGCGGCTGCCCCCTCGCCAGCTGTGTGCCTCTGGTTTGCTTCCATCCCCTCGCTCCCTGTTCCCTCCACTCAGCCTGCTTCCCTTTCCCATGCCTCCTTTCTGGTCCCTCCGGCACCTCCATTTGCCAACCCTGATTTAAGCTCGGAAAGGTCATGATTTGGAGCCTAACTCTGCAAGATAAAGCTTTGTGACTTTGGGCAACGACTTCACCTCTCTGAGCCAGTTTCTACTTCCGTAAAGTGGGGATCATTATCCCTGCCTCACAGCACTGCTGTGACGATTTCGACAGGTTGCGTGTGAATTATGTTATGTGAGTGCTACACAAATGTGACAATTGTACTACGATGCCGTCTATGGCTCTGTGGCCAAGACCCTTGCTTCCTTCTCACCTCATGTGTCCTGTGTCATCATTCCAGCAGTTCCGGAAATTCTGTCTCTCACCAAAAGTCTCCCCCACCTAACCTTGGGAAGGGGGTTCCTACTGTCTTAGCCAGGAGGGATGTGGTAGGAAGCAGGCTTGGCTGCCATCGGCTGATGAAAGGCCGGCAGGGGGAGGGGCCGCAATTTACAAGGGCAGAAGTGATGCTGGAAAACCAGAGCTGTTTTCCAGGGCATGGGGGGCTGAGAGGCCCCTGGAACCACTAAAATGATGGTGAGAGCTGCAGAGTGGCTCCTGGCCTTCAAACGCTTGTTAGACCATTAGAGAGAAGAGGCTGTGGCGGTGCGGGCTGGGCTGCGGGCTGGGCTGAGCAGGCAGGCAGCCCCAGGCTGGCAGGCAGTAAAGGGCTAGGAGGCAGGACAATCTCATCCCGCCATCTTTCCCTTTGGTCTTTCTCTGTGTGGGAGGAGGGAGTGAAGGGAGTGGGGTAGGGGAAAGGTTTCCAAAGAAGTCCCAGGAGAAGGAAAGGCTGGAACACCTAGTCCTTGGATCTCAAATTGCCTCTCCAGAGAAGTCTCCCTTCGTGCCTTGTTAGAATTTAGAGAAAAAATAACCAGGGCAGAGTCCGAGCTGGGGTCTGGAGGGAGGGGTCAGAGGGCCCCCCTGTGAAGGGGAGCGGGAGCTGGGGCCCAGGCAGAGGACGGATGTCCAGGTGGCCAGAGATGTGGTCACAGATAAAACATTTGGGGCCCTGAGTTCACTAATTGCGAGGATGACCTTGGTGAGTAGGAGCCTTTCGGAGCCTCAGAAAGGGAGGTGGTGAGAAGTACCTAATATAATGGCTGTAACAGACAGAGCATGGTGCTCGGCAAATTCTAGATGCTCCACAAACACTGAGCTCAATCAACATGTCCCTGTTAGCTCCTTCTACCATCGACCACAAGGATGTGCTAGCACCTTCCATTTGAACAAATGTGCAAGGTATTGCTAGTGCGTCTTACAGACAGGTGGGTATGTGTGTTTCTGCATGAGTGCAAGTATGTGAGTCTGTGTGGTACTGTCTTCCCTGCTGTTGTGGATTAAATGGACACAGTCCTTTTTTCAAGTGTCAAGTTGCCTTCTGGGCCAGCCAATGCACCTGTGTCTGCAGGACTGGGTTCCTGACCCAGATGATTCAGCTCTGGGCAGTGACTTCACTGCTCCTAGGGCCTGGGGTACAAGAGCTGCTTCTCAGAGTCATATACACAGACCAGGGTAAGGACAGGGGATTCAAGCTTGGGGGCCATGGACTATTCCCTGAGGGCCATACAGAAATCGGAGCTTCAGAGAAGGAGAGAGGAGCATGCGCAGCAGTGGATGATTGGAGACATGCCAGGCTCCCTAAACCTCCAACCTTGAGCCAGAGCTCTGGCTATGGCATTGGCCTTACCTGGCGATGACAAAGAGGACACAGCTGACACCCAGGTAGGCGAGCAGCACATACATCCAGATGTCAGGGGACAGGGGGTTGAGGAAGGAGAAGACACTGGGGTTGGTGCCGTTGGGCTTGCGGTATAGGATGCTGACACCGAGCGTCATGAAGGGCTTGGAGAAGTCAATGGCCTTCTCGCGCACATGGGTGATGGTCAGGGGGGCCACGGCCAGGTCCGCCTTCTGCAATGAGAGAGAGACAGACAGACAGACAATGAGCAAAGCCTCCTACTGACAGTGGACAGCACACTCTTTGGAGTGGGGTCAGTTGCCTGAGCCCTAGATTACTTAACCACTCTTCAGTTTCAATGTTTGCAAACCCTTCTGCTGGGCCAGGCCATTCTCAGGGCGCTGGGGAGACAATGATAAACTTAACCCTGTTCTCCGAGCCCTCATGACCTTGAGGAAAAAGACAGCGGCATTAACGTGCAGAGAATGGAACCCTATTAAAGCTATAACCATGTGCTCTATTCTAAAAATGGTGCTTTGTCAAATAAATACAGTTCATAACCTAAAAACATTTAAAGATCACTTACGTTCTTTATTTGTGACTTTCAAACATCATGAAGAGGACACGGACTCCACAACAACCCTTATCTAAATGTTTTCCTCTCCTATCCACTTTTTATGTATTTATTTACTTTTCGATTAATTCTCACCCAAGGATATTTTATCCACTGCTTTTTAGGGAGAGTAGAAGAGGGGAAGGGAGGAAGAAAGGGAGGGAGCAGGAGAGAGAGAGAAACATTGATGTGAGAGAGACATATTGATTGGTTCCCTCTGGCAATGCCCTGATTGGGGCTGGGGATTGAACCTGCAACTTGGGTACATGCCTTAGATGGGAATTGAACCCATAACCTTTGATGTATGGACCAATGCTCCAACCATTGAAGAACACTGGCCAAGGCTCCTATCCACTTAAAAAAAATATTTTATTGATTTTATACAGAGAGGAAGGGAGAGAGATAGAGTTAGAAACATCGATGAGAGAGAGTCATTGATCAGCTGCCTCTTGCACACCCACTACTGGGAATATTCCCGAAACCAAGGTACATGCCCTTGACCGGAATCGAACCCAGGACCCCTTAGTCCCCAAGCTGACACTCTATCCATTGAGCCAAACCGGTCCCGGCTCCTATCCACTTCTTGACTGCTTCACAACACTCTAGATTAGGGGTGTCGAACTCAATCAGAGAAGGGGCCAAAATCTAAAATCCAGCCTAAATCGCGGGCCGAATGGTTTACTAAACAGTCATAAACTGTCATTGTGATGGAAACGCAGCGGAGTGCAGTGATGACAGCGCGGTGCGGGCCACATTGCAAGGCCTGGCGGGACGGGTTTGGCCCGCGGGCCTTGTGTTTGACACATGTGCTCTAGATATTCTATATATTCTAAAAGCCCTCAAAACCAGGTAGGCAAAAACAAGACCTTCTTTGGAGGGAGAAGGTAGGGAACAAAATAAACAGGTAAATCCAGAGCCCCCTTTAATCACAGAGGGGAGGGATGAGAACAGAGAAGGAAATGAGGGGGGTAGGGGAGGCTAGAAATGCTCAGACATTGATAAATCTTAGCCCATCACAATTTTATTGAAGGAAATAATAAAAGTTCTATCTTTTGGGTCTGAGCTTTTCCTAATTAAGAATCTATAATCCTTTATTCCTTTCTGTCCAGACTTACCGCACTGCTCTATTTCTAAATGAGGCCCCATTTAATTGCTTCCCGTTGACCACATTTATGCTTTGCATATACTGTGCCCTATTGAGAATGCCTTCTCTCTGTGGCCTTTTCCATATTCTTTTGCACAAGCTCCCTTTTCCAAGAAGCCCTCTCTGATAGTCTCCAATTCTAAACTCCCATGAATTTTGCTCTGTCCTGTGGAAAGATCCTAAACCTACTCAGTTTGAACAGCAGGATGTGTGGCCATGTGACCTTTTTGTCTTTGCCTATTTACCTGTGAGTTTCTAAGCATAGTTGGGACTGTAGCCGATATACTTTTTCCATTTCTCAATTTCTAATCCCCATTTCAGCCTCTGTACTATTTGTTAATTAATAGTGTTTCCCTCTGAGAGGTTATTCCTTAGGTTCCTGTGGATATTTACACATTAGAATGTGAACCAAGTTATTACTTTCCTTCCTCTGATAGATCAGGACAGAAAGGGAGGTTGGGGTCCTAAAGACAAGCACTAAAGGCCCTTTTGTTAAGCTGACAAGAGGCTACCTCTGAGACTCCGTCCCAGGGCAATGCCTCTAGGCAGCTATCCACTGGCTTGTTCCAGCTCCATCCATCCATCCATCCATCCATCCATCCATCCATCCATTCATTATAAAATCCACCAACCATTGGGATATACAGGCAGCGAGGGAAGAGGACACTAATCAGATTGTTTACTAAATGGCAGCTGTTAACACTATATCTGACTTCATTAATCCTAGAATAGAAACCAGGAACCAAGTTGAAACCAGACTTCAAAGAGGGGAGGACTGATATGGGTGGAACCCCAGCTTCTAAATGGCTTTGCAAATGTCCTAGACTGGGGATGGCGGGAAACACACCATGATGTTGCTTACCCCAGTGTTTCTCCTTCTAACAGCACCCCACACCCAACTACTGACACTTGGAGCACAAGGATTCAATGAACCTCAGAACCTGGGAAAGCTAGGGAGGAGGAGCTTATTACAAAGGATTGTTTTACACGGGATATTCCTTTTGTACATTTCTGAGTGTGTGAGCTGGAACTTGCTTAGCTCTTAAGGCAGAGATAAGAAGAAACAGACACCCCAGTTCCCTGGAGCCCTCTCAGTTCAGGAGCACAACAAAAGAGAGAATTCTTTGGGAAGATGCAGAGAGACTGATATGTATTGCTCAAGACCTACTGTGTATCTGTCTGGCATACAGAAGTGAGCAAGAGACCCAGCCCCTGCTCTCATGGAGCTTCTGGTAGAGGGAGACCCTTTGGGGGGATGAGGTTAGGACTCTGAGTAGGGTGGGTATGGGGCCAAGCACCCTAGAGAGTCTCTTCAATCTTGAAGTTCTAGGATCCTCTATAATGCTGGCATAACAGGGTTGAAATGGACTTTTGATTCTGAAAGTTGGCCTCTCCCAGACTTGTCCTTTCAAAACACAGTGCTTTTTGGGAAGTTCTGTTATGATCCTGAAGTCATCATCATTGTTCAGAATGCATTTGGAACTGGTCTCTGGGAATTGCCTCTGGGGCTTGGAGTGGATTCTTGGGAAGAACTTCAAAGTCAATGGAGGCAAATTTCTTGTTGGCTTTTGGTAGCAAGTTGGATGAGAGCATTAGTTACTGGGGGGGATCAAGGTGTTTGCGGCCAGGGCTTGTTCCATCTACCAGAAATGTTTCAGGATTGATGAGGAAGCCAATCGTAGGGCCACAGGGCCTCTTTCTTCCTCAAGAACCAATCAGAACCATCAGAATGTCCCTACCAGCTTTTCTCCTTTCTGCTATAATGGAGCTAAGGCACAGAGACATCTTTGGTATTCTTTGCCTAGAGCAGCAAGACAACTAGTCAACCTGACCTTCTTCATGGGGAATTCCAATGTGTGTTCTCCTTTGGGTTTTAAGAAGGCCAATGTTCTCTTCAATTTTGTTTAAGGCAAGAAACACTACATTTCACCATTTGTTTTTTCCCCCCTGAAAAAGGCATTATTTTGTCCAAGTTCTCCTGAAAGAGCAAGAGCAGATGTCAAACCTTTGCTGTTTCAGTTCATTACTCAGAATTGAAAGGCCCAATCTTGGCAGGTTCCTCCCACTCATGCAAGTTTTCTTTGAGGATGATTCATAAAACCACAGGCTGTCAGAGCTGGACAGGAGAACTCTGAGAATATCTACTCCAACCCAATTTCTTTATGGAAAGGAAACTAAGGCTTAAAAAAGGTCCAAGGTTTTTGCTTTCATATTTATAGTAATCACATCCTTGAATAAGCTTCAAACCTCTGACTTGTTCAACACATTCATTGGTCTTATGGGTGTTTTGTTGACCCCTCCTGCCCATATCTCTCTCACTTGACCATGTTCCTCTTTCGGAATATGTACTCTGGCTTAATAGTTGCATCTCTCCCTACATTCATGGATTATTGTTTGTTTCCTCCACTATAGGGTCAGAGCCTGAGGCTCAGGGGAGGGATTCTGCTGTGCATTCACAGCACCTGGCATGAGACCTACCTTAATAAATTTAATGAATAAATGAATAACTTGATCAATGGGAACACCAGAGGTTCAGGAGCTTAGTGCATGGTCTGCTATATGGCAGTTTTCAGGGGTGGGGACACTGAATCACAGGTGGTGTCTGCTGATGACCCACCAGCTAGTCACCACACTTAACAATTAGCACTGTAGCCACTGACAACCTCAGAACAGCCCATATATATCTAAATAAATGGGTACAAGTGCGTACCCAAGTGTTGCCTGAGGGTTCATTGCCTGTGCTTCACACTCAGACCTCCTGGATGCCTGATGGTGAGAAATGAAGCTGCTGTCTTTCCCAGGCCTTGGAGAATGGCTGATTCCTGAGTTCTGGCAGGAGGTCAGCATGTTCCATTGATTCAGTTGTCCCACATCTCTAGTGACCGTCCAGGTCTGGCATGGCATGGGTGCTTGGAACATACCCTCTGGCTGTGACTAACCTCACACAGGTACAAGTTGACAGCATCTCACCTCCTGCCATCTGGGCTCTTCTTGCCTCCATGACTTCACAGGGACACTGCTGTAGGGTCTTGATTGGCTCCCATGCCTCCATGCCAAGCCCAGAAGTGCATGGGAGTCCGGAGTCAGTTCATAAGCCTATCCCCCTCACTCCAAGAGATGGTTCTGAGATACATTTTACAAGGCTTTCTTGGGGCACAGACTTGTGGATCTAGCCATTAGTTGTACTCAGTGGCAATGGCTCAGTAATGCATCCTCGTATTGGCTTTCCCTCCCTTCAGCTCCACTTCCCTGCCCGTCACTCTCTGACCACATCACACCCCGTTACTAAGCAGTGGCATCTGAGCCTATGCCTCAAGCTCTGCCTTCCAGGAGCCCAGGCTGAGACTTTGCTCCAGGAAGTTTTGTAGAATGAATGAAGGGACAGATGATCCTCAGGAGTGTAAGCGTGGTCCAGATGCTCCCTCTGACCTCAGTTTCCCTCCAATACTTCCTTTATCCCTGAAGCTCTATTGCTACCTGCACCTTGTCTTTTCTTGCACCTGGTTGTTTGAAATTTGACCTCTGCCAGGCTCTTTTCAGGCCTTTCCCAGGCTGGTCTCTGTTGGGAGCCATCAGAGTTGAGACAAGCAACTCTGTCTTGAGAAAATACAACTCCATCTTAGAATTAAGTTCCTTTTAGCAGAAGTTATGCGGTGCCCTGCGGGTTTGGCCAGAAGCTAAAGATTAACCTGCGGCTTAGCACATCTTGCTCCGGAGGATCTCTGCAACTCCCCTTCCTGATCCTCCCCTATAGCTAGCCCAGCCTTGGAATGTTACACCTTGGAATGTTACACCTTGGCCCTGGCAGTTAGCCAATCCTGTGTTGCCAGATACCTTACCACCTTGTCACTCAGTGCCTAAACCAATTATACACTGTCAAAGACCCCGCTGCATAGGCAATCCTGCCCCCCTTTGTTCCTGCTGTATATATACTGTTGTTCCAAAAATAAAGTTTGAGGCTTGATCAGAACTTTGTCTTGCCTCCATTTCTCCATGCCCCTGTCCCTTCTTTTCATCCTCCACAGGTCCTCCCTCTCCCCACGTTGCTGTGCCCCGAGTCTCTGCTTGCTGAGTCCCTAGCAGCTGACAGTTCTGTGGTGAACCTCAATGTGGCTCCAAGTCCTTCCTGAATTCCTCACTTGCCTATTGGTCATCCTCAGCAGATCCTGAGCTTCTCCAGAGCTCTGGTCAACCTGGCTTCCCACAAGAGTCCACCTTTGCAGTTCATCCATATCCCCTACCCTCAAATGCCCTGTCTCATCCAGGATTCTGAACTGCCCCAGGTGAGCTCCCAGCATGCCTTGCTTCAAAGTGCATTGCCCCCAGCTGGAAGGAGGTGGCTTGGCAGAACCTTTCCTGGTCACACAAACGGGTTTGAGAACCCTTCCAACACCAATGCATACAGGCCAGGACTCAGATCTGGTTCCTGATTTGAAGGTAGAAAACATAATAATGGGTGATTGGGTCGTGGCCTGACACCAGTGATGATTAGAGAGAGAGATGGGGTGATGGATGCAGAATGCGCTCCTCTGCCTAATCGCATTTGTTGTCCCATAGTTGGAGGTGCCTTGGGAGAAGGTGAGTGTGTCGGGGGTGGGCGCACTCTCCAGGTGCCCCATCTTCCTCCACAACTCTGGCTCCTGGGAGGCCATGTGGCATGGGACAGAGGTGAACAGAGTGTCAGGGAAGGACTTCTTACATTCTGCTGGACAGAGGCTCCACCCAGGGCCTCCAAATAGGCCTCTGGGGGCAGATCCTTGCAAAGTTAGCATTCATCATTTTTACGTCTACAATCAGACCCCTAATAAGAAAGTAATAATATTGCCAAGCCTTTACCAGGTTTTCTATGAGCTAGCGAAAAGACTAATTATCTGACGACACTAATAAATGGTTATGATGATATTAAAATTGGCACCACGCTAGGATTAATGGACTCATCCATTGTAGAGACTCTGGTTTAACAAGGTCACCTGCATGTCCTGTTAGAGCCTATGGCCTCCATGGAGACGGGGCTGCAAGGGGGCCATCGATGGGGCCTCCTTCTTTCCCCAGCCAAGGGTCAACTTGGGAAGGTCTGGCTGCTGCAGGGTTTTTCTGACCCATCCCCTTGCAACAGCTCTTCAGAGCCATTTGACTGCTGGAGATTTCGGTGACAAGACCGGTTTCTGCCCTGTTCATTTCCACACTTGGCTTCCCCTCCATGAGCTCTCTCTTCCTCCCCTGCCCAGCTCATCTCTGCAAACAGCAGGCTCAGAACCACTGGAAGCCCCGCACTCCACAGCCCAGCTCCCAAGTGTAGGGGCTCCATAATGAAGATGCCTCAGGGCCCTGCTGACTAATTTCCATAATAATTACAGTTATTACTAATAACGGTGACAGCACCACACCCTTCCATTTAGATTGAATTCCACAACCTGGGAGCAGCTTCCCTAGCAGTTGTTTCTGAGGAGCAGCACAGCCAGCTGGGAAGAATGCAGGGCAGGGATGGTTACTCTCAGAGAGGTAGGTCATGAGCTCAGGGAAATCATGGGACTTCCTGGAGCCCCCTCCCCAGCCTCAGTAAAAAAAAAAAACAATAATAAGGGCAAATACTGACACAGTGCCAACTGTGTGTGAACTTAGTCCTCACAGCAGCCTCGTCGGGCGAGATTCTATTGCTATCACTCCCATTTTATGGAGGAGGAAACTGAGGCACAGAGAGGTTAAGGAACTTATCCAGAAACATACAGCTAATACATGGCAGAGTGGGAATCAAGCCCCGTGGAGTTCATGGACTTTACCATTAGCCTCTCCCATCAGCCCTCCCTGGGGCCTAGGAAACTGTCACGCTCTGCTGGAGCCTTCTTGCTCTGAGCTCCAGCCTCCTCCCTGCTCCAACCTCTAAGGCCCCATGTGGCAGCCCTCCACCAGGGGCAGGAAGACTAACAGGAGGCCCTGCTGCTGCCTGCCCCCGCTCTGAGAGGCAAAGTGAGTCTGATCCCTTTGGCTGGTACTGACTGTTCAGGTTGCGAAGACCAATTGCATGAGCCTCCCTCTGCCCTGGCTCTTTGCAGAGGTCAGAGCACAGGGCTTCGGAAGTAGAGGGCCTCCAAAGACGGGTTACTGTGGGGCCTTCACCTCCCTCTGCCTCAGCTTCCAGGTCTGTACCAGGGGTGCTGGCCACAGTCCCTACCTCACTGCACTGCCAGGAAAAAGGAGAGAGGAACACAAGGGGTTTAGTACAGATCAGGATCTTGCCCTCCTTAGCAGGCCTTTGGTCGACAATGATTCCGGAGAGTGGAGGGCCCTGCGTTGAAGGCAGGTCATGTAAGTGCCAGGTGAGCATGTAGAATTGGTGCCTCATTTATTGCCACAACAGCCGTAGGAGCTACGGTAGTTGCTGGTTACTCCCTTTTAGAAGTGAAGAAATTGAGGCTCGGCGATGTGGTTGCTCATTTATCAACTGGGAGAGCCAGGACTTGAACCTTGGCCCAGCAGTCCATGGCCTGGGCTCCTAACCACGGTGATATGAGTGCTGAAGGCTGGCTGTGGGCAGGCCCTGCACCTAGTACTTCATGCCCTGTATCAACAATTCTATGAGGAGGGTGGAATTACACCCGTTGACAGTGAAGGAAGCCACTGGAGAAGTCCAGTGATATTTCTGTTTACATAGCCAATGAATGAGGAAACGGGATTTGAACCCAGAGCCTCTTTGTGGTATCCCTAGACTGGGTTTTCTTCATCTTCCCCTCAGTGTCCCACAAACCCAGTACCCTTTTACCACCTACTCCCTCTCTCAAAACTCCATCTGTTGCTTCTGCTCCTTGTTCCCCTAGGTCCTCTCCCATCTCAGACTGAGTATGAATCTGCCTCCTTGGTACCCCCCAGCTGAGTCTTGCTCATACCTTCATCCCAGTCCTTGGCTCCCTGGACCACCCATCTGCCCACTGGACCCAAAGTCACTCAGGACAGTGTAGGATCTATCTCGGCGTCCCAGGGTTGGGTGAGGTATTTTGCATGCCAGGTCACCCACATGGCTGGGACACCCTTTGGTAGCTCTTAAAGAAACAGAAAGCAGCTCATCAAAGACTCTGGTGGGAATGGCTCTGAGTGGGATGGGCCAATGCGTGTGTGCTTAGGTGGAGGGGAGTATCTGGGAATTGGGAGCATGAACAAGACAGGCCAGAGAGAGCTCCTCACTCCTCCCTCCCCATAGCCGGTGACTCCATCTCTCCTGCCCCCAGTGCCCTCATCTGCCAGATGCCCCACCCTGATGTGCAAACAGGACTTGGCTAAGCCTTCCAGGGGGTCCTCAGCCCCACTTACATGGTCAATGAGCTCCTTGATCATGCCGTTCCACTGGCCCTTGTCGTCCTGTGCCCCATACTTGCCGTCCTCCACCAGCCGGATCTCGTAGGAGAAGCCCAGGATGTGGGCCAGTTCCTTGAGCAGGTCAATGCAGTAGCCCTCGAACCGGTCGTTCCCAAACAGGGTCCTGTCAGACTTCCTGAACATGACGAAGGGCTCCTCCTACAGGGCAGATAGGAGAGGCGCTGAGGAAGGCTGAAGGGGTTGGGGGAGGCCGGCTGGGGCTGGGGAGCTTGGGCTGAAACCTCTGCTTTAAAAAAATCCTCTGGGCGGCTTAGAGGGAGGCCCGCTAAGTCAGAGAGGAAGAGCACATTTCCTGAGAGCCGACGTTGTGCCTTCTAGATGGCCACCTACGGGTATCCCATCAAGACATGGGGGCTCAGGCTGTATTTACTGATTAAGTGTCCAATGGTTGCAGAGCTGATAAGCAGTGGACCAGGTATTTGAACTCTAAACCGTCTGGTTGTGAGTCACACACTCTGCCTGCTGCACCCTCAATGCAAGTCAGTGGTTCTGAGTGTGGTCCCCAGACCAGCAGCATCACCATCACCAGGAAGCTTCTCAGAAGTACAAATCCTCAGGCCCCACCCAGATCATTGAACCAGATGCTCGGCGGGGCTGGCGGTCTGAGCTGTAAGAAGCCCTCCGGGGGATTCTGATGCTGGCTCAAGTGTACGCACACTCTGTCATCAGGTATCTTCCGAGCTCCCATTTAAAAGATTAGATCTACATGCTCGCTGATACCGCTCTCTTCCCAAGGATCTCCGTCCCCAGAGTCAGGATCTGCCAGGTGCGTGACTCCTGATAACCGCGATAGCGTGCATTTGTTTGTTGACGTGGGGGGCTCTCGTAAATCAACAAATGAGACAGTGTCTGTGGAGTGCCTAGGATGGGGCCCAGCAGAGCAGGAGGCTCAAAAGGCAGTAGCTGATATTGCCTCTTTTAATCTTGATTTCCACCTTCTAGGGGTAGGTACTCATAATCCCATTTTACAGGTGCAGGAAGTGAATTCATTATGATGAGTGACAGATGAGCTCAGCCATCCTCTAGAGTAGGGGTGTCGAACTCAATCAGAGAAGGGGCCAAAATCTAAAATCCAACCTAAATTGCGGGCCGAATGGTTTACTGAACAGTCATAAACTGTCATTGTGATGGAACGCAGCGGAGTGCAGTGATGACAGCGCGGTGCGGGCCACATTGCAAGGCCTGGCGGGACGGATTTGGCCCGTGGGTCTTGTGTTTGACATGTGTGCTCTAGAGAGAGGACCTGAACTCAGGTTGGTGCAAACTGAGCTCTTAGCCACTTCATTGTGTCAGAGGCCCTGAGTCCCAAGGTGTCTCTCCCTGGAGGCCAGGGGTCCTCAGAAGGTAGCTATGGGGCCAGAGCACAGGTGACAGCTGTCCCATGTCAGGCTCCCTCCCTCCCTGGTGATGGGGAGTCAGTGAAGGGCTTAGAGCAGGGCATGGCTCTGGTTTCTCATTTACAAATAACCCCCTGGCATCCCTACCAAGTATAACAGGGAGAAGAGGCAGGGGAAATAGTGAAAAGTAGCTGTTGACCTTGTCCAGTTGGAGACAGAGTGAGGAACTGTGGGATCTGACGTATCCGAATCCAGGACCATACAGTGTCCCAGAGTTCAGGTCTTCCATGCAAGTCTATGTTTGCGCTGGTCCCACCCACCCAGCTTCACTTACACATCTCCATCCAGAGTCCGTGGTGAGTGAGCTGAATGCTTAGCAAACTAATTTCTTGGCCTTCCTGCTATACATACACCAAACACTAATTTCAACTCTTTCTCGCAGGCTGTTTGATTTAAGCCTCACAAACTTGCAAAGTAGATGACATTATCCCCATTTGACAGATAAGGAAACTGAGGCTCAGAGAAGGTCAATAAGTTGCCCAGGAGTTGAACTGCAGTCTGATGGAATTCCATTCCAATCTTTCAGTTTCTTTTTGGGCCTTAACCTTCTCCAAAGCCATCTCGGCACCCCCAAATGTCAGAATGCCCCAAACCTTCACCTGAGGGGTGATATTCCTCACTAGCCCACTAGCTGAAAGAAGGCACATGTATTGAAAAATCTTATGAACACAAGTGCACAAGAAGGGCACACACCTGATTATGCAGATATCTCATCATTCTCTCAACTGGTATGGCCATTCCTCTGACATGTGGGCCTCTGGAGTGGGGTCAGCAATGAAAGGCTCAGGCAAAGACTCTCAATGGAGGCTCTTGGGTGCAGAAACTCACCAGCAACCTCTTGCCAGGCTCCCGCCATTACAGGTGGGCTTGATCCTCTGGCCCTGGGTCCCTGGCCATACTGCCTTTCAAAATCCCACCCCACAACTGATTTACTCTAGATTCAACAGTCCTTTGGGGTGCTTCAGAGAAAGAGCTGGGGAATGTCTGAGTCCCCAAGAGGTTCCTGTCTCTCCAGAGATTCTGAGAAAACGACTTCTCAGTCTAACTGGGTGGAAAACTGGGTCCACGCTCAATCTCAGTGCTGCCTGTCCCCACCCTCCAACCAAGTAGGCAGATCACAAGATCAGAAAACGAAATCCAGGGGCGGTGGAGAAGGTGCAGGTAGGGAGAAGGCGCTGCGGCCACCTGGAGGAAAGGCGACTTTGGCTAGTACACAGGTCACCCTTTGTGCTAATTAGTCTCGGGGAAGGTGCTGCCTGGAACCTTGGCATGGGGGTGGGGCTGGTTTCAGGCCCAACTTATCCTTCTGGTCAGATGCTCTTGTGCAGTGAACAAACTGGCCCTCGTACTTGGTGGCCCTATTAGTGGCCGCAGAAAATAACTGGAGAGAAAGTGCCATTTTCCCCAGGGGATTACCAACTGCACTAGGTTCCCAGGCAATGTGCACCTCCTTCTGTAAAATGGGGATAATAGTAGAACCTACTTTATAGGGTTGTAATGAATTAAAGGAATCAAACTATGAAAAGCACGTAGGACGGTACCTGGCAAATGGAAGCTGCCATTATTATCATTACTATTACTAGAGGCCCCATGCACGAAGATCTGTGCAAGAATAGGCCTTCCTTCCCGTCTGTGGGCACCACTTTTCTCCTATCCGGAGCCGCCTTCCGCCTCTTGCCTTGTCATGTCAATTTGCATATTTCCTCCTTATTGGCTGTGGGCGCCTCCATCTTTGTCACGGAGTTATGGTCCATTTGCATATTCTGTCTTTATTAGCTAGGCTTATTGTTAATATAATTATTATCTTCTTTCTGTGTCGTGGGTGGCCTGTTACCACAGTGACCTTTCTAGCCTAGGGACCATGCCCAATGTCACCGAAGGTTAAAAATCATAGCTGGCAGCGGAAATCCATTTTGGGAAAGGCCCAGAGGTAGCTCACTTCCTGACCCTCTTTCCATGCCTGCCCCTCCCGGGCCTATCCTCTAAAATTAGCACTTCATTTGTGAAGCCACCACAGCCCCCAATCTATACATCTCCATATAAATACGCTGCCTTCGGAGCAGCTGTAAAATGCCATTAATTTTGGGAAGTGCTTTGCGGATGGCATACATATTTAACAGCCAAAGCCCAGAGCATTAAAATGGTGCTCGCCTTGGTAATGTGTCTCTAGACCTCAACATTTCCTAGGGGGTAATTCTGAACTCCGCCAACTACTTATTCATGGACTATTTCACAATTTATTACTGGAAATGTCCAGACAGCCAATTCACAAGCTCTCTCTGCTGCTAATCGATTGCTCGGTGAAGGTGCCCTCAATTTCATAACTTCACGCTCTCCTATTGCTCTGGGAGCACGGCTAAAGGAGCAGGGGTAATATTTCTCTTCAACAAGTCACAGGAAACAGAGGTCCAGAAAAATAACCTTTCTGACTTTTCGTTGCCAGGGCTCTTAGTCTAGTTTCTCTCCGATCACTTACACCGACGAGAGCCGAGCCCTGTGCTGAGCTTCTCCCGGTGACAGGACCTGTGGAGTTAGAAGGGGGGCCTTTGGGGGAAGGATCTAGGGGTTAACTGCCTAACAGCTGTGTTGCCACTCTCCTTTCTGACTTAGGTGTTATCCACAAACGTACACACAATATTCACACAGAATGTGCACACATTATACAATGTCATTGGCACAAACACACCACATTCTCAAATATCCTGTTTGCCTAGCCCTGCTTGGACAAAGAGGCCAAGGACTCTAGATCCAAGGCCTTGGCTCTGCCAGTTAAAAGCAGGACAGAGTAACGGGGTGTACTGCCCTCGCCATGCCGGGGAGTGGGGGAAGGTGGGGAGAGGGGGCTGGAGTAGTCTCTGGCCTAGGATGGTTCTCCCAGCCCACATCCTGGCCTTCCTTCTCTTCTCTCTCTCTAGCTGCTGGATACCACGGTCTGCCTGCCTGGCCGCTGAGTCTATGTGGGTCACGATGTGCACACGGCACACAGACACCCGTATCCAGACACCCGTGCATACGGTCCCACACCCACTCACATGCTGATGTGCATACTGACACTGCTGCTCACTTCAGCAGCCAAAAGAACACTGAACCTTCAAAAGCAGGGCCCTAGGAATGAGTTGGGTGTGTTTTCGCGGTGTGTGAGCTGAGGTTTGGGTGGATGAATTTTTCATGAATTCATGGAAGAGCCGAACCAGGAAAGAGGCAGAAACCAGGCAGGGAGCAGGTGGGAGGGCAGGCTTCCAGGCTCCTGCAGCAGCTGCTTTGGCCTCAGGAATGAGGAAGGCTGCCTGAGCAAGGAGGGGCCAGAGAGGATGGGGCCAGGGCTCTGCCCATCTATGTCCAGGCTAAGGCGTCCCTAGCAACTAACCCTGGGCTCTCATTAGGGAGAGGGTAGCACACACAGAGATGCTGCCTTCAGCCACATAAAGATTCTAGAGGTCTCAGGGCCAGCCCTATTCATGAGGGGCGAACAGTCAGATCTTCCTGTACTCTTGCTTTCACCTGCCTGTCACTCAAAGCACTGTTGCCCTGGCAACCCATATCCAGAAGGGCAGGGGCCCAATGCTCTCAGTGGGTGATGCTGGCCCTGTTTTCAGGCTGCCAAAGCACAGGGCTGGGTTTTCAGCCAGAGCAGTTCGGGCTGGGCCTCTGCCCACAACTGGCACAGCTGCCCCCCAAAAGCTCTAGCCTGGGGCACCCCGGGCTCGGGGACATGCGAACCACACTGAGACTTTCCACTCTCTGGACCGTGTGGACCAGCTCTAGGTCTTCAGACTAGTCCTTGTGTGGGAGTGGGCATCTCAGTCTCTTGGAAGACTTTGAGGAAGGACATATGAGTCAGCAGCCATGTGAGAGGTCAAGGCCACGGGGCCAGGACTAGGGAATAATCGTGATGTCAGGGCTGGGAGCTCAGACGTTGGCCAAGGCAGGGATGAGATGGTGGCTGGGACCTGGAGTTTTACCTATAGGTAGAAGACTAGAGCTGTGAGGGCCTCGCCTTCAGGGGCCAGTCAGGAAATAACTGGATAAGAGGCATCCACACGTAAACAATAGAGAGTGGTGGGATCTGTGGAGAGCCAGGGAATGCCCACTGGGCCGGGAAGGCATTCAAGTGCAAGTTCAAAGTTTAGGATGCACCCTGTGCTAGAGATAACCTCTGCAACCATGGTCAGGGGTCAGTCTGCAACCAGGCTCAGGGACAGAAGCAGAGGTTTTCTCTAGAACTGTCATTCTGCATACTGTATGAAGCTTGCGCTTCCTGGGGACTGGATTTGCATTAATAATAATATGAATTAAGAACAATGGGAGCTATCAGTTAGCACGCACTCTGTGCTGTCTGTACTTATTAATCGTTATTCCTCTCAACTCTAGGAAGCAGGTACAATCATTACCACCTCTCTTGTTCAGTTGGGAAACTGAGGCACAGGATGCTTAAATGATTTTCCAGGTCACAGAGCTCGTGAACAGTCAAGCTAGGACTCAAACCCACAGTTCTGGGCTCTTCATCACCATCACACAGTCTTGGTCCCGTCCTGCTCACACCGCCTGTCCCAAAGGGCTGGGGGGCTCATGTATGCCTGGTTAGTGGCAGAGGGACGGATGGAGCTGTGTCCAGGCTGTGGGCCAAGAGGGGCTTCTCTCCTTCCCTGTCCCTGGAAGCCTGGGAGCCAGCGGATGCTGTAGGCGGGAGGGGCCTCTGGTGAGCAGCTGAGTACAAGGAGGTCGGCAGCTTTGCAAGAAGCTTCGAGTACTGACCAAGAAACTTCGGGAAGAACGGGGATATCTGCTGGATTTTGTCTCTGCTAGGGTAGAAATATCCCTTGTGGCCTTGCCGAAGCGACATCTGCCCTTGAAACGAGGCTGCTGCCATTTTAATAAGAGAACTCTGTGTCTTTCAAGGTGGATTTTGCATCATTTTGGTGTATCATCTGCAGACCACTGGAATATTGTTTTGAGGCTGAGTCATCTGGGCTCATTTATCACCTCTCCTAATTTCTCAAAGCAATACTAGTTTTACCTTTTTTAATCTCGTCGTGTGAAAAGCGCCTTATTTATTGATAGCTCCACGTTCCATGCGGCTCTGCTTTTAATCTTTTACCACCTTCTTATTATTTCATTTTTACCCTTTTATATTTTAGCTTTGTCACACTTTTATCCTTTTGCTTCCTGACATTCGGGTTTTACATTTCTTACCATGTCTAGCTGGAGTGTTAATTATTTATTTTCCCTTTTCATCTTTCTTGATAGCGTTCCTTTTCATTTTTCTCTACTACTTTCCTTTTGACCTTTTTTTATTTTTGTTCTCTTTCCAATCTCATTTTATTTTTTATATGTTTATCCACACCAGTATTCCTTTAATTGATCATCTCCTTCTGCTCTTTTTAATCTTTTAGAGCTTTGTGTTTTTTGTTTTTGTGTTTTGTTTTGTTTTACAAAATTTCCCCTGTTCCTGATGAGACCTTTGGACTTATTGGTTTTAAGTGTAATTTTTATATATTTTTTAGTTAACAAAAAGTTGATCAGTAAAGGCAGGCAGGCAGGAAATACAGTTGTCAGGAGAAGATGCCAGCGGGGCCTCCCCCCTAATTGGCGGGAATAGTTATCTCCTCTGTTCTCTCGTTCTGGCTCAGGGGCCTATCCAGAACCTCTGTTTGGTCCCTGTCATCTTTAAGGTGACATAACACTGGGCCTTCTGGGAGGATGGGGTTTACATCCCTTCCCACTCCGTGGTGCCCACCAGCCAGCTGCCAAGCACATCGCAGGCGAATCCTACCAGAGGGAGGACATAGCAGCGCCTCCGGTGGGAGGTGGGTGTGGCCAGCCTGCACCAGCCCTGTGGAAGGACCAGTATGGGGTGCAGCCTTACTTTATCTGTGCACTCTAAATAGAGTTTCTTTTATTGGTTTGTTTTATAGAGAATGATCTTACCAGTGTCCCTTGTAAACATTTGGCTTTACTATAAAGAGAAGCTGACCAGGGAGAGAATTGTCCTCAAAGGCTCTTTGGTCAGAATCCATCATGCTATGCCCGGCTGCCTCCCCACACCATGGCCCAGCGTGGGCCCCAGAGCAGTTCTGCATCTCCGAAGGGGTGGGTCCTGAGCCTCTGGTCTCACTGGAGGCTGCACTCCAGAGTCCAGAGACCCCAGCAGATCCCCAAAGCCACTCCTTGGGTTGAAACAATCAGAAGAATGTGGCACTGTTCAGTCTGGGAATGGAGGGAGGATGGCAGGCAGAGTGACTGTTGCCAAGAGCAATAGGACAGGGGAGACCAGCGGGAGGGCCTTTGCTCTGGGGACTGAGGTGGAAGAGGTAGACCAGAGTCCTGGTTCAGACATCAGGTCAACTTCCTTTCTTCCACTGCATCTACTCAGACTCCGGGGCTCAGGGATTGGGTGGGTGAGATGTAAACACACAGGCCTCCCTCTGCAGGACTGGCCACCAGATCTCAGGCGGGCCTGAGGGCCGAGTGCTCTGGCTCTGGGAGAAGGCCTCTGGCTTGTGGCCCTGAGCAGGGCTGCTGTGTCCCAACCATCCGCAGAGGGTTGTTTTGAGTGACCCTGAATATGCCCACTTTCCAATTCCCTCCCCCATCCCCCAGCCTCCCAGTGGCTTCATAGGAGATACCCGGTTGATGCAGGGTGGGGCAATGGAGGGTTCCCTCCAGCCCCGATGGCCAGCCCTCCCCCAGGCCAGACAGTCCCTCCTGCAGGGCTGCAGGCTCTTACCAGCACTGTGGTGACGACGAGTGACCGATTGGTCAGAGAGTCGGTGACGTTAGGGCCTCGGCCTTTGGGGACCTCTGTGATGTTGAGCCCCTCGGCAGGACTCCATACCCCAACCTGGATGAACAGACAGACAGAAAACAGACTGCTGAGTCCTCAGTCTCTCTATCCTGTTCCCACATCAACAGTCCCATCATCCCGATCCCATTCGTCAAGGCCATGGCCACCATGCTTGAAACTAACCTTTCTGACTGCCTACTGCCTCCCTCATCCCAGGAAGAGACCTCTAAGTGGGTGAGTCTCCTGAATTCTGCCACATCCCCTTTTGGTGGCAAACCCTGCCCAGCTGAAGGGGGCGATACAGAGGGAGAGGTGAACACAGAGGAAACCAGTGGAAACTATCCTGGGTGGAGCAGATGCTATGAGGAAGCCAGGGTCCTGCGTCAGGGTCAAGGTCAGGTACTCTCCTGGGATAGTTACTCTGAGTCTGGTGGGCCTCCCACCTCCCTGGGAAGACCTAGGCATCCAGCTGCTCGCTCACTGGGTCTCAGCTCCAGCGGCAGCTCCAAAGCCCAGGACAGGACCTGGAGCGAGGGGCGGAGATGTTCATAGCATCTATGGGATGGGTGAAGGGACAAGGACATGGGTCACACACAGAATGGCAGGCTGGGCAGGAGACTGGTCTTGGTAGCTGTCGGGGGATGGCAGAACAGAGTGGGTGACCCTCCCTGGGGGCCTTAGATGCTGCAGGGATTTTCGGTTTTATTTCCAACATTGGCAGATACCCTGGGAAAGGCGGCTTAATCTCTGTCCACACAGCGCCCTTGTTGCTATCAGGCCTGAGCCGGAGGGAGGCAAGGGAAGATCAAGTTTATAAATCATTCTAAAGTCCAGGGCCGCCTAAAGGTCGTTTGGGGTCCAACTGTGCCCTGCCCTGCCCCAACCTCAGCTCTTCTCTCTCAAGGACGATTTTAGCACGTCCACCCTGTCCTTGGCCCAGCTGGGGGCTCCTCAGAAACTTAATCAATTAAACAGAGAAGCTGAATGCAAACATCCCATTAAGAGAACTGCGCCAGGAAGATAGCAGCGAGATGCGTAATTATGCTCGGGTAATTCTGCCTTAATCCTCCCAAAGCCACTGGCTGGAGCTGGCTGGATCAGCTGTGACCCAGCTTAGCAAACAGAAGTGACGGGATGGGAGGCAGAGAGGCTGTGTTAGGGGCTCAGTGCCCTCTCCAGGCAGGATCTCTGTCTTCACAGACCCCCCCAAGGACCAGAGGAGAGGAGATAAGGAGACAGCCTGAAAGATGCTCTTCTCTCATGGGGCCCGAGCTCAGCACGAGGGGCCCAAGCAGCACTCCTGGGTGCGGGGCTGCTCAGCAAACATCTGTCTAGGGACCAAGTGAACAGCAGGAATCTTTGCCCTAGGGAGCATCTATTGAGCTCCAACTGCATGCCTTGCCAGACACCAGGTGCCATGGGGATGTGAGATAGTGAGGACTGGGGTTGGAGGCGGGGTGGGGGTGTGGGGGGGGGGGGAGAGCGTGAACCCAGCCTGTAGAGGCTCTCTGCCCAGAACCTGACTGAGACCAGTGCCTCCACCTCAGTCCAGGTGCAGTAGCAGAGTTTTTCTTCAGTGTAAGCTGTGGCCACCTTGTGCCAGTTGCAGGCGGAAGGAGGCTGTGGTGGGCTCAGTGGGAAAGAGTGTTCTGATGAGCAGATACCGGTGCCAGCCACAGGCACAGGAGCGAGAAGTGGGGCATGCGTGCCATCCTTCGAATTTCAGGCTATCCTCAGAGCTGAGAGAGCAAAGATGAGATGGCTACCTGAATGGACACTGTATTGTAATAGGGCTGCCCCAGGAGGAAGAGAGCGCCCCAGCATGGCGGAGTTTAGATAGAAGTGGGAAGACTGTGGAATGGGAACTCACATGCTGTGTATGATCCACTGGCCTCGAAGATGTGAGGAGCAGAGGCCACAGCCCGTCCTTAGGGACCGATGCTACATTCGGCACGAGAAAGTCACGCAGTGGTGATGATGTTTCCCTGGCCACCTCTCCCCAGTATGGTGACCCCACGTATGTGTGGGAAACTGGAGTGAATGGAGTAAACCTTGGCCACAGGTCCAACCCAGGAGTCAGAGGCCACTCCCGCCACCAGGACAGGATGGTGGATGGGAGGGGTTAAAGCCAGAGGTGCTGGAGAAAGGGGGTGTGACTGGACGGTGGGAGTGCTGTTGGGGACAGTGGAGAGGAAGGCTGGGGCATTTCGAGAACCTTAGAGGCTGGGAGAGGGGTGGAGCTTACTGACTCAGGACTGGGGAGCTATGGGCAGGTTCAGAGTAGGGCAGAGCTGTGTGTTAGGAAGCTTCACCTGTGTGTACACTCCAATAGCTGGCGGGCTTGGAGGGAGGTGGAAAGAAAGCCAGGTGGGAGTGTCAAAATAATCTGAGGATGCAGCCTGACCCAGGGAGGGCAGAGAGATGAGGAATCAGGGGCTCCTGCAGGCCCACAGCACCAGAGCTGGCCTGCACTTCCAGGCCTCTGCTCCCGTGTTTTATACACTCCACCCCGGGCTTGGAGGGGTCCCTGGTAGCTCCAGTGGGATGAGAGTGTGGCTGAGCTCCCGGAGCTCACACAGCAGCTACCTAGCCCCAGGTCCAGGGGCTAATGTTAAATCCCACTTCTCAGCCCAGCAGCCGATGTCAGAATGTGCTGAAGACTCCCAGGACCAGAACTGGCCCCTTTACAGACATTTCTATGGCAATCAGAGGGGAGTCCCCAGGCCCTGGTGGGCCTGCTTTTCTTGTCCAAACTCCTTGGAATCATCCAGACCTCAAAAACCTAGGGCAGCTCAGAAACCACACGCTTCAACCTCTCTGCAAGAATAAGAGGCACCTCCAGTGTCCCAGACAAGCAACTGCTTTGCTCAATTTTTGCTTAAATGCCTCCAGTGACAGTGAGCTCACTATGCACCTGTGGCCTTAGAAAGGTTCCCGTACCCAAGGATATGTCTGTCCCTCTGCCCCATACAGGCCTGCAGAGACTTAGAGGCAGTCTGTCTGCCCCACGAGCCTTCTAACCCTTTTCTAGGTTAGACATTCCCGAAGGCCCTTGCTCAGATGGTTTGGGTACCTGCCGTGGCCAGGCCACTGGGTTCTGCATCCCTCGTGTGACCAAGGCTTCGCGTCCTCTGAAGGGCCAAGGTACAGGCCACACTGGGCCTTGTTGAACCCTAAAGCGGCAGCCATGATGGGCCTCGCCCCTCCCGCTCCGGCACCCACACACCTTCTCCAGGCCGTCCTCCTTCAGACTGACGATGTCCAGATCGAAATCGGTTCGCAAGCCACTGGTTTTGTTGAAAACAATCCGTCCAGTTAATCCTTCCCATTGAGCCTGCCGGAGAGGAGAGGGCAGAGCGGCAATTCCTCGGGCTCATAAATCATCATTCGGTACAACTGTACAATGCTTCATTTTAATTACTCCTTGCACTGATACTGTTCCCCCAAGACCATGATTAATTAATAATCACCTCCATCATTGCTCGGGCCGTGGTGCGAGCCAGTGATTTCCATAAATTCTATTATGCTCTTTAGCCGGCTTTACATTTGCACCTTCCCGTGTACAACATCGATCGCAGGCACACTCAAATGAGCCCCCGCCTCGCAGCCACAAGGAGGGGAAGCCCGCGTCAGATCCCCGGAGAGGGGCAGGGGGGCAGACGGGCGGGGCAGGTGAGGGGGAGGCAGAAAGGCCCAGGGGGCCACATTGGCTGGGAGACCGGATGCGTGGCGTGGGCTCCAGAGTGCCAGGGAGACAGAGGAGGTCACTCCTGCCACCCCAGCCCTGTGGCATCAGAAGGGTAGACTCAAACACCATTAGCGGTGTGACCTGGGGCGTTTCACTGCACTCTCGGCCTCAGTTTCTTCATCTATAAAATGGAACCAACAACAGTAGCCATCTCACCAAAACGCGGCGAGGGTGAAATGAGGTAGGTCCCCCCGTAAAATATGTGGAATGGTGCCCGGTACCGCCTGAGCCCTGAATGAAATGGTGGCTTTTTGTGAGCATCATTCACACACAGAGACAGACGGTGATTCAGACAGGTTCGGGACCCGGGCTGAGCAGAGCTCCATCTTCTAGATCAGAGGTGGGCGAACCGCCTGCCCGAGGCCTGTTTTTTGAGAACAGGTTCTGATCTCACAGCCGCGCACATATGTTCACCTATACGTGTAGTCTTTGGCTGATTTTTTTGCTACGCCTTCGGAGCTGGATAGCTGCTACAGAGTCCGTCTGGCCTGCAAAGCCTAAAATATTTACTATCTGGCCCTTGGCAGGGAACGTTTGCCTGTGGCCCTGAGAGTTAGCTCTGCGCGGCACTCCACAGGCACTGTGCACGCCACGTGACCTCCACGGCAATCCTGGTGGGGACGAGCCTGTCTGACAGGTGAGGAAGCAGCCCCAGAGGGGCCACATGCTCACAGGGTGAAGAAGGTGAGTCAAACTGGAGGCGGGGTTCCAGGGCCCCACCCTGCAGGCGAGTGGTTTCCTCCTCTCCCTCCTGCTGGGGTTAGGGTGCAGCAGGCACACAGACAAAAGCTGGGACGTGTGGCTTTCTGTGTCTGAGGAAACAACAAACCCACCCGTCCTGGAGTCCCTGGGAACAAAGGTGAGCTGGGGTTTCAGGGAGAGAGGAACTCTGGGACTCACACAGCAGCTGCCTAGCCCGACGGCTCAGAGCATGGACGGGAGCCGGAGTCTGACGTTGAGTCCTTGCTTGGCTGCACTGAGCTCCTCCTTGCATTCTGGGGTCGTGGTCCCTTACAGGTTCTGAGAAAGGTCCCAGCCCCTCCCCAGCTGAATGCCTGCTGCACCCCTGCTAACGTTCACACTTGGACACGCAAGCTCATGGGTTCACAGATGCCTATCTGTTGATCCGAAAGGAAAACTCTTGGGCATCCATAAGCCCCGGAGCAGCTCGAAGGCGCTGGAAAGTCATCCTGACAAGCACCCAGCAGGCAAATGGGTACACTAGCTGGCGCTCTGGGGCTCCCGGAGGCCATCAAACAAAAGTGGTCAGAACGTTGGCATTGCATTAGGAATCTACCCTCTCTGAGCTTCAGGCAGGGAAAATTACCTACTTCACGGATGTTCAAAGGGTGTGGAAAGTGCTTAGCACAGGGCCTGACATGCAGCAATCCCTACTTATTTGCAGTTTTGCTTTCCATGGTTTCAGTTGCCGTGGCCCCAATTTTTCATATAATATTAAATGAAAAATTCCAGAAATAGACAATTCATAAGTTTTGTTGTTGTTTATTTTTGTTGTTACTCCTCGCCCAAGGCTATTCTTCCATGGATTTTTAGGAAGAGGGGCAGAGGGGAAGACACAGAGAAACATCGATGTAAGAGAAACACATCGATTGGTTGCCTCCTGCACGAGCCTTGACCAGGGCCCAAGCCAGGGAGGAGTCTGCAACCCAGGCACGTGCCTTTTGCCGGAATCGAACCCGGGGCCCTTTGGTCCACAGGCTGATGCTCTATCCACTGAGCAAAACCGGCTAGGGCAACAATGCATGCACTTTTAATTGCACATCCTTCTGAGAAGCATGATGAAACACTCCCTTTCCTCAGCGTACACTCCACTGCGTACACTCCCCGCCTGTTAGTCACTTAGCCTGAGTTATCAGATCTACTGTCAAGGCACCTCAGTGCTGTGTCCACGGCACCCTATTTTACTTACTAATGGCCCCAATGCTGATGCTGGGAATTCCGATATGCCAAAGAGGAGCGGCAAGGGCTTCCTTTCAGTGACATGGTGAACATTCTCAACTTAATAAGGAAAGGGAAAAAAATATATACCGGGCTTGCTAAGATCTATGGGAAGAAGAAATCTTCTACCATGACATTGCCTATTTATAAATGAAACTTTATCGCCGTGTGCATAGGGGAAGCGTAGTGCAGGTAGGCTTCGATACTGTCTGCAATTCCAGGCATCCACTAGGGAGGGGGGTTTGGATCGTATCCCCTGCAGATAAGGGGGGGCTACTGTGTACAGTCCTGAGTGAGTGGTATCTAGTATGATTTCTCCTTGTTGCTTTCTTGTGGGGGCTCCATTGGATTGGGCTGGCCCTTGGCTGTGGGGTGGGGGAACCCTGAGCTAAGACCTGAGGCCTCAGTAGAAATCCTGTCACCGAGGAGTGATCCCTGCATGAGCTCATTCTGTTCTCATCCCGATCCTGCCAGGTGGATGTCACCACTGCCCCAATTTAAAGTCATGGGTACTGAGGCCCAAAGAGGGACCGAGCTGTGCAGGCCCCAAGCAGTGGGGTGCAGATGCCTGCTGCAGGGGCAGGGCAGAGCTGAGAGCATGGGTCATGGCTTCCAGGGCGAATGGGAGGCTTATGGAGCCCAGGGAACCAGAGGAGGTTGGGATGGAGGTTAGAGACACATCAGAAGAGGTGAAGACCACTGTGTATGACCTTGAGGGGAGGCTCAGCCGCTCTCAGGCAGGCTCCCCAGTCCCTCCGCCTTCCTCTCAGCCCCATGGGCACCCACCCCCAGGCTTTCTCCGGGCCCCCGGGGAAATCTCAGCAGGTGCCTTCAAACCTGCACAGCGGAGGGAGCCTTCCTCCTCGTCAGCTCCAGAGGAATGAAATGCCAGCAGGTGCGCTGCCTGTCTGTGGGCGGGGGGCAGGGACAGGGCCTGGACAGGGAGCCACTGGCAGCTCCTCCCCGTGACATTTCGCGGCCCCCCCCCCAGCCCCTTCCAGCCGAGGCTCCGGACTTGCTAAATGAAAGATGCTTCGCACGCTCTGAACTCCGGCCTGGCATTTCCCAGCTCCTCTCGGAAATGCCAAGTCTTTAAAATGATTTACTGTCAGGCAGTCAGATGGGGAGGCGGACAACTTGGACGCGGTCCGAGGATAGACTATGCCGGGCTCGGGCAGGGCACCCGGGGCCTGGTCGCGACCAGCTGTGGGACCACGGGCCAGTCCCGCGGCTGCTCGGGGCCTCGGTCTCCACACCTCGAGGTAGATAGAGATGTTTCTGAAAGGGCTCTGTAAGGGGAGGTGAGTGGTGGGGCCATTCACGTGGCTGGGGCCAGGGGGGGTGGGCAGACCTCCCCAGGCCTGCCAGTCCCTGGAGGGAGAAGGGGGTTCCCCTTTCTATGGCGCAGACAGTGGCCATTCTGCTCCCATCTGGGCTTTGCCACTGAGCCCCTAGCCTTCCAAGGAGTGAGGGTGAACAGAGTGGGGTTTGGAGATCCTCATTAACTGAAAACCCAGCAGGAGACACGAAGCCACGGGCCGGACAGTCACGATGGCAGAAGCCATAGTTACAGCAGCCAATCTGTTCAGCGCTGCTCTTTTCCAGGCGGTGTCCTGGTTTCACACACACAGAACTCACGTAATCAATCCTACAACAACCCTGGCTTTATCTCCATGCTACTGAGGAGAACCTGAGGCACAGAGAGGTTCAGTAGTTTGTCTAAGGTCACACAGCCCCAAAGTGCTTGAGCTTCCAAGCCCCTTTGGTCTGGCTCCTAAGGCCCCAGAGTTGTGGCTGGAGTCAGCGGATCCACACTATGGCCTGTGGCTGCTTAGCTGGAGGCCTGCTGAGGAAGGGGGTGTGGGAGGCAGGAGGCAGGCCCCAGAGAGTCCTGAGAACAAGCTGACGATCGCCTGGGCCCGCCAGGCCTTGCTCAGGGCAGTGACCCGTCCAACTTTCTCTGCAGTGTTGAGGGGATGAATGAGAAGGCCCTCCATGGTCCTCGTGTACCAAAACAACGGGCACTGGACTCCCTGCCAGGAGTGAGGGAACTGGCGCCAAAGCCTCACGTGCTTCCTGGCCACAACTCTGACAAGGCGTTTGCCAGGTGACGGGACTGATGCTTGGGGACGTCTGGGAACTTGTCTAAAGCTACACAGCCGGGAAGAGAGACACTCCAAAGGCACACGCGTCCAACCCTCCAGCCTGTGTCTCCTCCACGTCCCTGTTAGCGTCATCCAGTGTCTGAAATGCAGGAGGCGCTGTCACTGGCCTCACCCCAAGCAGTCACAGGAGGGAGGGAGGGAGGGGCCTCCAGAAAGTAGCCCTGCCACTGAGGAGGGTTGTGGCTTTCTCCGCTCTTCACCCTCACAGCACTGCCTTCCTCGTGGGGTGGGGATACAGGCATTAACGCGATGACCTGATGGGTGTCTGCCTGGGCACGAGCTCTGAGAGCGCGGGGCTCATCTGCTTTAGCTCCCTGCCTGGCACCCCGCCCCGCAGGCCCACACGGGTATCTGTTGAATAAAGGAACTTCTGGCTTCGTTTCTGGTCCATTGTGATGGCTACAAAGGGACGGTCTGTACGGAGCCCTCCTGCAGCCCTAAGGGCACTTGGTCTTGCCCTGGACGTGGTCACTCTCTCTGATCCAGGATCTCCCTGCCCAGACCTCGTCCCCCTGAAACCTTCTTCATCTACCTTATACTGGGACCTGACTGTGCCCGCTCTGGGGGCTGGGAGCATAGTTTTTCATTGCCTTCCCAACAACGCTTGGTAGCACACAATCTCACTATCTTCAGACACAGCCGAGGAAACCGAGGATCTACGAGTTAGTCATCTCAGCCAAAGTCACTTAGCCCATTGGGATGAAGCCAGGGTGCAAGCCCAGGCCTTAACTTCCTCCATCTATAAAATTCGAACAGTAAACGGCCCTCCACCGTTTACAGGACAGCGGTGCTGGAGCGGGCCCTGTGGGACTGAAGCAGGCCCCGTGTCTTTCCACGGTCACCTTCTCGGCAGCAGGACAGGCTGCTACTCTCCGGTTCCTTGGAACCAGCTCCGTGGGTGGGACTTCTCCCCAGTCGCTGTGGTGCCGGGAGAGCTGGTCCCGATGGGGACTCTGGCTGGGAAGTTGGCTGATGGACCCAGGTCATAAAGAGGAGTTTGTGGGACTGACTGCTATTCACCGAGCCTCCTCTGCCTTCTGTGCTGCACGGAGCATCTCCCACGTGGTCACTTTTCATCGCGGCACCACGTTGTACAGACGAGACCACCAAGGCCCAGCACGGCTCCTGAGTTTGCTCAAGGTCACACAGCCCGAGGGAAAGCCCCTCACCTGTGGTATTTGAAGCCTATGTGTGTCCGGCTGGCACTGCGGACCACCCCCTGAGCACCTATGACGTGCCAAGGACAGCCTCTCCATCTCCCTGTAAGATTGGTCCTATCCTGGCTATTTCCACTCAAGGAAACTGAGGCTCAGAGATGTAAGGCAACTTGCCCAAGTTCAGGTGGACCGAACATTGAACCTGACTCCCAAACCTGGGCCCTTGACGGCTCTGCAGCACCAACAACCTTCGGGGAGATGGCCCCGGTGGGAGTTGTGGGGGGCACTTACCTCCTTGATGAAATTCATGAAGCGGCCTCCGAAGCGCCACGCCTTGTGCCGGTGGCACTGCAGGGAGTTCACGGTCATCTGGGGTGCCCGCTGGTAGCACACGGACACGATGTGCACGGCGTCATACAGCAAGGCTGCGTCGGTCTGGAGGGAAGGTGCAGGCCTGCCTGAGAACAGCTTCCAAGTGCTCTGCTTCCCTGCCATATCCCCCCCCCCCCCCCCCCCCCCCTCCGCCACAGGCACATAGGGTCCTGGCTGCTCTGCGTGACCCTGCTGCTCTGCAGACACCTGATACCCTTGCAGCTCAGGGCTTTGAGCTGCCCCTCTGCCCCATCCCCATGCCTTGCTGCTGTCTTGGCCCCCACACCATCTCCTTCCCGCCTCCCCCGCCTCTGCTGGTCACCCCGAGGATCCACTGAGCTATTCCAGCTCTCTGTAACCAGCTGTTGACATGTCTGTGCTCCCAACCTTGGGATGGACTATGTCTGACTCCCTCATGTCCTGGCCCCTAGCCTAAGGTCCTGCTGACCTAAGAAGGGGTTGGTAGGAGGGAAGTGAAAAACGGGGAAGGAGAAGTAGAAGGAAAGATGGGAGGGAGAAAGGAAGGGAGGGAGGGAGGGAGAAAGGTGAAGGGAAAGGGGACCCCTGGCCTGGCCCCCGGCCTGCTGCCATACCATCATCACGCCGTCCAGCAGCCCGGACTCAGCCCGGGGGGCTGCCTGTAGCCGCTCCATGGACCACTTCTCCACGATGGCCGAGACGTGAGGGTTGTCCACGTTGAGGATCCGGAACCCTGTCAGGTTCACCCCCGAGTAGCGGTAGGGCTCCAGGTCTAGCGCATAAAGATCCTGACAGAGAGAGGTTCGTGGAAATAAAGGTGTGTCCGCTATAAGCTCCAGTCCACTGCCCATGCTCCCTGCTGTCCCCCAGAGCAGAGCCCTCGCTGCAGCTCCCTGCAGGGCCCGGGGAGCAGAGGCCAGAGGTGAGGGAGCCCCATGGGAGCACAATACTTAGAAAAGATAGGAACCCCTGTCTGCCTGGTGGCTGACCCCATGTGTTCACTGCTGGGCCTCGAGCAGGCTGCTCTGACCATTTCATCGGCCTCCTTTATAGGACCGGGTGCCGCAGTGCATGCCCGATGCCCAGCCTCCAACAGTAGCTCATAACGGCCAGGATGGTCATTTCCTCCGACGGAGGAGGCCCACTTCCTTCGTGCTACTGGGTCTGGGCATCTCCACGTTACCCTGAGTGAGGCTGAAGGAAGGATTTTACTCCCCAAAGGAGAGTATTTTAAAAGACTTCTGCCAGGGACTCAGGGGACAGCTGCCCTTGGCCTCTTCTCACCCCTGGCCCCCCGCTCCACAGGCTCCATCCTCACCCCTGCCTCCTGGGAGCAGTGATGGTGACCAGCCTGTATGTCTGGGCACCAGGTCACGTCCAGGCTGGTGCGTGGGCAGGCCCTCGCCAAGGGCCAGGGAAACAGGCCTGAATGCATGGGGCAGCCCGGCTCCAGCCCCTCCTGCTGCTCTGGGGGAGGGGGTGCAGACACAGAGAGAGAAGTTGGGTGCTTAGCTGAAAAGAGGTGGTGTTTGGGGGGTGATACCATGAGATACAGAGCAGAACTCAGTCCTCAGAGCAGACACTTACCCCAAACTTGGAAACAAGGAAGGAAAGCAGCATGGAACATGGTTTACCTGCCCACCTGGGATTGTGCGATTCTCCTGGAGAACACACGTGGGGTTGCCCTCACTCTCAGCTACTGGGTCAAAGCCCAGACTCTGGGTTCACTTGTAGATTTTTGCCCATAAAAAGAATAATCGCCACGGTTGTGGTTTTAGGGCCCTGAAGGACATTAATCCGTTTTGTATCTAACCTAGCAGCCTTATGCTATGTGTTTTCTCGTCAAGTACCTAAGCACTCAGCCCCTCACTTGCTCTTTGAGCCAACACTTTCATCCTCCTGCTGCCCTTGCTAATGAGTGGATTGCATCTTTGCCACATGTTTCCTTCTATAGTCTCTGTTTTTAACTATTTGGAAAAAATAGACTGACACTCGAGGTTGATCCCATACCACTGGTGGGGAAACTGAGTCTAATGGTCATTGTTTGAGCTCCTCCTCATCTATTGCCTGTTCTTCCCCCCACTTTCCACTCACCATCCTTGCTTGTGGGGCCTCGGGCTTAGTCACTCCATCCCATGCTGGGCGGGTGGCTGGGATCCTGGCCATGCCTCTCCGTGGCACAGACATCAGGGGGAGCACTCAGCCCCACCACGGTCCCAGCTCTGGTTAAGGGGATTCTGGCTCAGGGAAGGATGATGAGTGATACAACCTGGAGCCACGGAGCAGCTCGCACCCTGTGTTGGCGGCCTGTGGTCTCTGAGATCTTCTTAATCAATGCTAAACTCATTCTGTTCTTCCCCAACCTTCCCCCCTCCCCAAATGGCCTCTTTCTGGAAGGCATTGGAAGGCATTGTATTCATTTCCTCTTGGAAGGTTAGGGAGTAGGGGAGAGGCTTGGACAGTGGAGTTCCAGCCTTGCCCAAACAAACAAATATGGCCCTGATTCTAGGCCAGGATGGAGACTGGGGAAGGGGCTGGGTGGGAGCAGGGTGCAGGGTGTTGAGCAGTTGGGTGATGGCTACTGAACTGGCCTGGGGGTGTGTATATGGCCTTAATATCTGTGGAAGTGGAGGGCGCTCACTATGCTCAATCCTGCACTGGAGTATATAATCAAACTTTTAAAAAATATTTTTTAAAAATATATTTTTATTGATTTCGGAAAGGCAGGGAGAGAGAGACAGAACCATCCATGATGAGAACCATCGATTGGCTACCTCCTGCATGGCCCACACTGGGGATCAAGCTGGCAACTTGGGCATGTGCCCTGACTGGGAATCGAACCATCACCTCCTGGTTCATAGATCAACACTCAACCACTGAGCCACGCTGGCCAGGCTGTCATTGAATCTTCACAGTCACCTGTGAAGTGGGAACTCAATAGTGTTCCCTCTATTCCATGAGGAAATAAGGCCAGAGGGGTTAGGGGAGAGGCCTATGGTCATAAAGCTCATGAAGGCGAACAGAATGGGCACTCAGGCCTGTTCTGGTGGTGGATGGAACTGGCTCACCCTGGCTGTGAGAGCAGATTGCTAGCACTCCCCCGCCCCCCCCGGCTCTGTGTTCAGTGGCATCACACTGGAAGCTTCCTACTGGCCTCCCTGACTGTCCTCTACACGCGTACGGCCAGGCGGGTCAGGGTGCTTCTGATCTTCTCCTGGGGCCTCTGGGTGTCACCCCCTGAAAACAACTGTCCATGCATATATCTGTCCCCACTGTGAGTCCTTGAGCCAAATAAGCTCATCAACCGAAGGAGAAGTAAGACTCAGCACGGGTAGCACTCTGGGGCACTAACCATAGCTGGGAAGAGCCCAGGTGGAGAGACCAGTGCTTCCCATCCTCCTCTGGGGGGAGGCCCTCTGGGGCGGAATGTTAGGCATGGTTTGGTAAATCCCTGGGATGAAGGATGAGACCCTCCGGAGGCTTGCTTCAGAAACAAGAGATCCTCCCTACACCACTTTTGAAGGAAGTGAGTCAGTGAAGATGGAGGGATTTGGTTTTGCAAGGGGCGTCTGCAAGTCTGGGGCCAGAGCTGAACTGCTGGGGCCACGGGAGAGAAGCTGAGCTCTGCCCCCAGGGGGCGCCCTCCTCGCTCTGGGCCTGCACAGGCTCAGCCTCTTCTCCAATGCAGTGTGGACCTGACACGAAGGCCTGAAGGATGCCAGAGCACTAGCCTGCCTAGGGCCCCTGGGACTGGTCCTCCCTCCTCTAGGACCAGACGACAGCTGGACCCCCTGGAAAGGGTGCATCTCTGGCTTCGTGGCCGCTTCTGTGCTGGTGACAACAGCCCTTTCGGTCTCCAGCTGCAGCCTTCATCTTGTTGATGCTTGTACACAAGCTGGGAGGGGGCGTGAGGGGGCGGCAGTGCTGGGGTCACCTTCCTCCTGTCCCCTCAAGCCTGGGCTTGGCTGCAAAGTGCTGCGGAGCTTGTGGCACCAAATGCGCCATCCCTGTGACAAAAGGACAGCATCAACAGGACGCTGGTAGAGAGGCCTCTTTGTCAGCTCCAATGTTTGGATCTGAACTGCCCCAGGCTGAGACCCCAAATGCTGTACACAGCGAACCTTGCACAACCTTGCTGCTTGGCAAAAAGTTGCTATTCTCCGTGCCAAATGTTGACACACTGAATTCAGTATCGGCGAGGGACCTTTTAGAAACATTCAGCATAACATAATAGGCTAATTCATTAGCACCCCATGGGTCTGACTGGGTGGAAGCTGAAGCTCGGAAAACATCGGCTTAAGGAATGACAGATGAAAATATCTTCCCCGCGATATAACTGTTATTGCAGGGAAGTGGCATTAATTGTGATTGCTTATCTATTAATTTATTATAATTCTTTCTTCACCTCCAGGCGTTTACCTACACATGCCATGTACCAGGGGCTCAGCGGGGGCTGGGGAACGCGGGGTTATCTGGGAAAGGCTCAAAGCTGGCCGGGACAGATAATGGCAGCTGGGGTAATTAAACTGTCTTCCTGGGGGAGGAGCAAGTTGGGAGGATTTTTTTTAGAGGCAAAGAGTTGGTGACATGGGTTTCCTAACAGGAAGGAGATAAATGCCAAGTGCCACTGCCCTTCCGGTAAAGCTACAGCTGAAGGCTGGGCGGATGTGGAATCCCCAGGGCAATACCTAAGCCAACAGGGCTGGAAGGAAGGTGCTGGAGCTGAAAGCAGGGCATGGGCAGGGGGAGGAGACCTAGGGGACACAGCCAATGCCCTGCCATGTGGGGGGAAGGAGAGGGGAAAGCTGCTGGGAGACACCCTGGTAGCTCCCCTCCCCGTACATACTCCACTGCAGAACTATTTGCATGGCGGGGGCTGTGCTTCTCTGGAGGGGTCTGCTCTCCTGGACTCTCAGAGAGGCGTGGGGAGGAGGGGCAGTGGACTGAACAGCCACGGTTTAGACTGGAAGTCCGGAGCCCAGGCCTCTATCACTGACTTGCTGTGAGATTCTGGGCAGATCACTCAACCTCTCTGGCCCCAGGCTTTCCCATCAGTGAAGAGGAAAATCAGTGATATGGAGAGAGGGCTCTGGAACCTGTGAAGTGTGGGTGTTGCTGGGATTTGTGGAGGCGCCGTTATTAGTGTCAATCACCGGGCCTGGACCGTCACAGCCAGCTATGTGGAATGAGCCGGCCAGAGGGTCAGAGGCCGGGGAGCTTTCCTGCAGGCTCTCAGCTGCACAGGCTGCAGCAGAGCGCATGGAGCCGGGCACTCCCCGCTGGGAATAATCCTTGTTCCACCCCTTTCTCGCTGAGTGACCTCTCTGAGCCTCAGTTTCTATTTTCTGTAAAACTGGGGGAGACAGGCCTCCCTGGAAGAGTTGGATCTGGATGAGATGAAGTATGCTGAGTACACAGAAAACATAAGCAGGAGTTTATTTGATTAATTGATTTAACTCACACAGGAGACTCAATGCCAAGCATGTCTCTAAGTGCTTTACTGATGTCAACTATCCTCTGGGTCGTACTGTTATTGCGTAATTTTATAGCAGGGGAACCGAGGCACAGAGAGGCGAAATGAAAGAACCTCAATTATACCTCCGGACCCGAGTCCAGGTCTTAACTGCTGTTGTGATGGAGATATTGATAATTTCACTGATCAGTTGCTACTTGGGATTGTAGTCATTCATTCAGACATTCGTGAGCACCTACTCTGTGCCAGGCACTCTTTGGGCACTGGACATACAGAGGCGAATGGGGCATGGAATCTAAGAATTAGGGCCTCAGTCACCAGCGTGGGGGATTTCTTTCTCCTTACACCATTCTGGTAGGACCCCAGGTCTGAGCTTTAGATCAGGAGAAGGAGCAGGGTGGTTCCAGACCTCTGCCATAGGTATGGGGTGCAGTGGGTGGGGGATGGAGAGAGGGTGACAAGCAGGGGTGTGCTGGTAAACCCTTAATAACCAGCTCTCAGGGGAGAGGGGGTAAACAACCCTTATTTTAGCTTGTGCCAGCTTCCGTAGTATGAATGCTCCCACAGTGGCCAAGGTCAAGCCGGCTATGTGATGTCACTAAGTGCGGAGCTGGGAAGAGAGGAACACGGTCGACTCTCACAATCAGCCAGAGTGAGACAGCTCCAGCATTCCACTGAGGAGCTGATCTGCCCCTTAGCCTTTGCCTACGCTGCTCCCTCTACGTGGCATACCCTTCCTGCTTTTCCTTGGTAAACTCCCACTGACCCTCCGAGGCCCAGTTCTAGCATCTTCTTTCCAATAAAGCCCGCATCACATTTTCCACCTCCACTAGGCCCTCAGCATCTGGCATCTCTTTGCACAGTGCCCCACGGGCATCTGCCCAGGCCTGGATGGCACAAGCCTGCTCTCTGAGCTGGACATAGAGACACAGACTGGGCAGGATGGGAGCTCCTTGAGGGCAGGGCCTCTGGGCCAGTCATCTTGAGGTGCTGAGCTGAGCACAGGGTGGTGCTGGATGGATGAAGGAGGGCAGTCAGAGGCCGGCGGGGAGGCTGATGCAGGCTGCGTGGGCTTGTTTCAGCACCGGGGCGGTGAGCAGCGCTGTCCCTCACCCGGGACCTGGGCTGGGCGGGAGAGTGCATCCCAAGCCCGTCAGGTCAGAAGGAGTCTGGACCCAAGGCAGGGTGTCTGGGTGCTGGTGCCCCTTTGGCACAGGGATCTCTTCATTCTGCTGATCTCAGACCACAGCTAATTATCCTAATGGGCTTAAATGGCCCTAAATGTTCTCAGAGTTTGGACAGGACCCATCTGGAGCCCGCAGGTGGGCTGGCCTGGCTGACAGGGAGCGGGCAGACTCTGGCATGGTTGCTATAGGAATCAGAAGAGGCCATGCCTGTCGTTTTGAGAGGCCTGAGGCATGTGTGGAGAGGGGGGGCTAGGAGCGAGGGTCAGCATAACAAGAGCTAGTATTCCTCTTTAGGGGTGTCGAACTCAATCAGAGAAGGGGCCAAAATCTAAAATCCAGCCTAAATCGCGGGCCAAATGGTTTACTGAACAGTCATAAACTGTCATTGTGATGGAAACGCAGCAGAGTGCAGTGATGACGCGCGGTGCGGGCCACATTGCAAGGCCTGGCGGGACAGATTTGGCCCGCGGGCCTTGTGTTTGACACATGTGCGTCTAGCTCTTTCATCATTTACTTTATTAATTCACTGGGTCCTCACAGCCATCCTAGGAGGCAGAATCCATTACTATGCCCGTTTTTCAGAGGAAGAAACTGAGGCAGGGGAGTTAAATGAGTTTCTGAATATCTCACGGCCAGTAAGTAGAGGGGCTTCTGTCCACGCTGGCAGGTTCTAGAGCCCCTGACCGCTTTGTCACACGTAATGTCACTTCTACACGTGGGCTGGCCACTGAGACATCTTTGTGCCCTCACCTGGGCCACACCTCAGCCCCAGGACAGCAGCTCCAGCCTGGACCTCCTCTAGCTGCGCTGACTGACCTGGTTCCGAGGGAGCCCCACCCCGCCCCACGCCGGACCCAGAAGTACGTTACCAGAGTGGTGAAGATGAAGTGGTAGTACTCGGTCATCATGCCCATGGCCATGGCCTGCGGGGAAGCAGAGTGTCAGCACCTGCGGGAAACACCCGAGCAGCCCCTGCCCACCACAATCCCGCTACCCCGGGGCGGAGGACTGGGCAGGGGACAGGTTGGCCGTGGACTGGGGGAGGCTGGCCACCGGAGTGATATTCTCTGAAACCCCTCCATGCCATAAGCATGACTGGCTGGCAGACAGCGGTGGGTTTCACCCGAGCATGAGCAGCAAAGTCGCCCGGGACAAATTAAAATGAAATGCACCCTCTCAGGCCACTCTCTCCAAAGATTCCAAATCCCACGGGGAGGGCAGGGCCTGGTGGTCCGTCTCTGTGGGAAGCGCCTCTGGGCCTGCCACACAATCCAAGACGCCTTTTCAAGAGCCCTGACTGCCCTCAACTGAGGCCAGCATCACAATTCTGGAGAGAGTTGTCCACGTGCCCATCCCCCCCTCTACCATCATCCCCCCTTGCAGCCCCGCCAGCCCCGGAGGAGGGCCTGTCCTCCACCTCCGCCTCCCAGGAAGGGCTGACCACAGAGCAGACTCCACGCCACCTTGAAGTCTCAGTATATACGTTGCGTGTACTGTTTGAGAAGCCTGTAATCTATAATACTAATGATCCTAATGCATTTTCTATGGAGCGCTTCAGGATGCTGGCCCACAAAGTACTCTGAGCAAAAACTGTCCCTGGTCAAGTCCACTTAGAAAATGCCGCATGCTCTTCTCCCCTCTTAGGGATTTACAACCCACACACGCAGGTGCAAGGCTCAGAGAAGTCCTCGGTAGGCAGTCACACTTATCTTTGTTCAATGGAGGCCAGAATCTTAATTTTAAATTACAGACTAACCTGGGAGTGAGTTCTGACATGCATGCTGGATGACTAAGGGCCCACAGCCTTCCGGGAAGCCTCAGTTTCCTCACCTGTGCACTTTTTCACATAACCAAGCCCACTTCCCATGAGGAGCTATGTGTACTGGCTCGGACTCCGTGGGAAACCAAAGTCAACTGTCCTTATTACTGCTGCACACCCGGGAGGAGAAGGGATGCCCTGGACACAGATGGCTGGGAGAGTGGGGGTTATGGTGCCCTCCACCAGTGCTGACCATGAGACGGCACCAGGATGAGCCCTTCCCTTCCTCACCTCCCTGAATCCTCCACGAATGTGTGAGGCAGGGACCACCCACAGAGGGGATGACCAGGCCACCTGCTCTGGGCAGAAGAAGGATTCAGACTCATCACCAGGTGAAGAGGCTGGTGTGGGGCCTCCTCAGGGGAAGGCAGAGGTGGCCATTTGCTTGAGCGCCCCTCGTGGGCCCAGTGGAGGGGTGGCATGTGGGTCTCCAGCCCAGTCCTTGAGCCACTCCCTGGCCCTGCTCAGCCCCTCTTCCCCTGCCCTCCGTGTCCCCTCCCTCCCACCTGCCTGTCGAGGTGTCCTGTGCCAGGACCCCCAAACTATGTCCTACAATCACCAGGGATGCTCCCTGGGACCACATCCTGGCCCTTTCCACAAAGCACTGGCTCCAATCAGAGTGTTTTGGTTTCTCTGGGGCACCCTCAGAGGGGTCGTGGACTATTTGTGTTTCTTTCTTTGGAGGTTTGGCAGAGGTTGGCTCTCGTTCCCAGCATGCCACACCGGGCCGTGTCCAGCACCAGGGGCCCATCCAGGACTGGGAGCCAATGTTCTCCCCCGCTGTTGCTGCAGAGCTGAGCAGATGGTTGGAGGAACCTCGATAAACCTAGTGATGGGAGAGCAGCACCAATGCCGCGGGCTATGGGGGTCAGTCTCGGGAGGAGGCAGTGAGGCGCTCTGGGGACTGTCCCCGAGACCCCCAGGTTCTGTCCTGTGAGACTTCAGGCCCCTCTCTGCAGCTCGGGCCTCCCACTGCACAGAGGTGGCACAGAAATCAGCATTTACTCCGCACCCTTCATGTGCCAGGCCTGTAGCTGCTCCTCCAGCGTCACAGTCCATCCTCACACCAGGTGGGACGTAAAGACCACTGTGTCCATTTTGCTGCTGGTGAAACAGAAGCTCAGAGAGGCCCATGCAGCCAGCAAGAGGCAGACTGGGGGTGAACCTGAGATCTGGCTGATAGCATGCCTGTATTTGGGGAAGGAGAGCTGGGGAAGGGGGCAGGCAGATCCCAAGCAGCCATGCCCTGGCCAGCGCTCACGCACCTGCTTGAGGATCTGGGCAGCCATGGTGTGGCTGCAGTCGAAGATGATGCGAAATTCCCGGCCTCGTTTCATCTCCTTGAGCAGCGGGCGGGAGTCGTCAGAGTCCAGGGGCAGCTGGCGGATCTTCAGGCGGATGTTGTATCTCGAAGGGGCCATGATGAGCTCCTGCAGTCGGATGAGCCCTGAGAGACCACGGGGCACAAAAGACATGTGTACACGCATGCATACGCAGCAACAGGCATCTGCAGGCTCACGTTCATATACATGCTTGTGGCCACAGGCCTGCAGACAGGGACTCGTGGCCCCCAGAGATATGTGCATGAGCATGTTCATAGCCACACACATCCAGACACAGGTACTAGCACCTCAGACATAGAGATGTGCACTCAACTGTACACACCTTCACATGCATACAGATGTAAGTACATGTTTACATGCATGTCAATACAGATAGGGCATATGCTTGGGCTGATAATATGTGTAAACGTGTATATAAACATGTGTGCACACAGACACATATACACTTATGTGGATTCAGAAGTAGGCACGGACAGCAGATTCTCACCGACTACGCCCACCTGCCCCTTTCCAACCCAGAATAGATGTAGAGACTGATGGAGCCTGAACCAGACCCCATCCCCTCTTCATCCCCTGCCCCCTGCCACATGGTGAGGCACGGGGCATAGTTCTCTTAACCACACTTAGCAACCTGTTCCAGGATGAAGGCACAGGGGCAGCTCCACACTCAACTGTACCAACAGTAGACTGGGTAGGTCCAGGTGGTGTCTGTGCCCAGTCCCTCCCCTCCTCTTCCCCCCAAGGGCAGACTCCTCAGTAAACCTAACCCACCTTCCAAGCTCAATGCATCCACCTCCTCCATGAAGCCTACCCCTACTGTTCTGTCCAGACAAGATCTCCCATCCCCCCACTCAGTGGCTCTCCCTCAGCCCTAGCCTCCTCTGGACTCATCTCATCCCCCTGATCCTGCCCCAAACTCTTTAACTTGAGGGGCTCTGGGGACCCAGCCCACGGCCTGGCACTTAATGGTATGCAACACAAATTTCCACTAGATTGACTCACTGTTTTTCTCTCCCCACAGTGAAAAATCCATTCTCCACCTTAGCATTTTGCAAAACCACTTAATCTGGGGACTTCCAGGGAAAACTAAATGTCACTTCCTAGAGACAAATAGCTTGCATAGGTCTAATTAAGTTCATTTCCGTCCCTATTTCAAGGTTCATTCCTGCTGACGTCTCTCTGCTTAGCCTGGAAGCAAGCCTGCTGGCTGCTCTCTCTGCCTCCAACCCCAAAGCAAGGAGGGGCTAAGTCAGCATCAGGCCAGGGGCCCAAGCAGATCCTTACTAACCACCACCACCTGCTGGCCTCCTGCTACACTCGGGCTTGGGGTCTGAGTCCTGGCTGCACTGTGCACTCAGTGTGCTCCACGCCCCCAATGACAGCATGCTGACTTTCCTTTGGGGAACAACTCCCCTCTCTCTCAGCCATATGACCAGGAAGGACCCATCTCCAGCTTCCAAGGCTCAGCACGTGGCCCCAGCCTGGTCAATCAGGCAGGAATATGGGCTTAGAGAGGGTAGGTGCCCCCAGCTGGTCCTCAGCGTGACGGTGAGATGCGCCCCCTTTTCCATTCAATTCCAAAGAAGGAGGACGTGAACCTGAGAGTCACCACATGGGACCTGAGAAGGATTCCAACAGGGCAGTCAGAGAGACCAAACGGGGAGAAAATTAGGCTGGATGATACCCATTCAAGTCTCTGGATCAACTAGTACCTGAAGCTAAATTTACTCAACTTCCAGTTACAACAGCCAACAATCCCCCCCCCCCCTTTTCTTCCCCTTAAACTAGTCTTTCTTGGATTAAAGTTTGCAATCAACTGTCACAGTGTCTTCTGTCTGAACAGAGTTTCCTATGCTCTCCACACAACAGCTTTCTCCCCACCACCCCACAGACAGCCCACTCCAGATGCCTTCCAACAGAGAGTCCCCATTTCCAAAGCTATTTCGGGTTCACAGGCCTGGGTCTGTTCAGCCTCTCATTCCCGTTCCTGAGGGCTGGAGTCAGGAAAGCGATCTGATTGGTGTCCTTCATGTCACTGCGCTGGGGAGGACAGAAATAGAACCCGGAGACCTAAGCCTCCCAAACAAGCTTTGCCATGGCTGTGGGATCAGGAGCCTAGCTCCCCTGAAGGCCTCAGATCCAGTTGGCTGGGTTGGGAGAGGGCTCTGGGTGCACAGGGGCCAGGGCCTCCTCATACCAGACTTGATGGAGAAGATGGCGGGGATACCAGGGGACCTCAGCAGAGGAGGGAGGGGGGTTACATATCCCTGCAAACGCACACCCAGCCTCCCCTCCACCCAAGCGAATCTCAGAACCCCTCAGTAGGCTGTCTGGTGCTGCCTACTCACACCTCCTCCCCACAAGACCCAGGGTTCGCCCTGTGCTACCATGTGCTTGGTTTTCAGACTCACGCACAGCATCCGCAGGCACACGGGCTTTGGGGACCCCGGACAGGAGGGTGGGGACAGCCTGGGAGCTAAAGCAGAGCTCACAAGAGTCTTCCTGTCAAGCAGGTGCAATGCCCCGTGTAATAGCCGGTGACCCACATTCTCCAGCAGCAAGTGTCAGAGCTCCTTCCCATCAGTGTATTCCCGGAGGGGCCCAGAGACTTGTCCCGGCCAACCCAATGGAAGACGCGGCTCTTTTGTTCGCCTGAGATGAGCTTTCCTTCCTGGCTGCTTCCCTAATCAATCTCTCTCAAAATATCTGCAGTGAATCATGTTGTTGGAATAAATATCTGCAGTGAATCATGTTGCTGGGATCGTGCTTTTCACTTACAAAGCACTTCCGCATTCATTACCCGGCTTACCCGCCTCCCTGTCCTAGAAAGCATGCAGATGAGGGGCTTCTGTCCCAAAGTGGCAGGTGGAGAAACTGAGGCCCAGAGAGGTTGAGGGACCCTCTCAAGGTTTCACAGCATGCTAGCAATGTGGTCAAAACTAGAGATCCATCGTTTGGCTTCTAGACCAAGTTACCAGCACATAACCTCATCCTAAGCCAAGTGGCATCTGTATTGGCCAAAGGTAGCTGGCATACCCTTCTAGCATGCCGAGAGAACCATGACTTTGTTTGGGTGACCATGCGCCAGTCCATGAGGGGACCTGAGACTGGGAGGATCCAGCCAATGGCAATCCCTTGTAACACAATCAACTTCTCAAAATAAGATTGTATAACTGCACCCCCATTTCTTCTTCCTTCCAACACACTCTTTCCTAATAACATTTAATTATAGTTTATTTCAACTTGATTTTTTATTCCATTCGATTCAATTCAACTCAATTCAGTTCAATAAACCTTCATAAACATCTGTTTTGTACCAGGCCCAGAGCTAAACCCTGGGGCACAGAAAGCTCTGCTCCGGAAGGAGAAACAGGCTCAAAGACAACCATTCATAGTGGTACGAAAGACAGATAAGCCGATAGGGCTGCACAAACATGGGGAGTGACTTGGCGCTGGGCCCATCAATGGCAAGGGAACTTGTGCGGGAGGCCCTGGGAGGGGTGGGGATCCTTGCCCTCCAGAATCCTCTGCCTGGTGCTTTGGGTATGGCAGGACCTCAATAGATGGTGGTGGAATCCTGAGCAAATCCAACAACTTGGGAATGTCTTTTCTGAGTATTTGATTCCCACTCCGCATGTGGAGGTAATCGAGCTGACATTGAATCGCAGGCTGCCTCGAGCTGGAGGGCTCTTTCCGGACTGGATACCAGAGCTCTTGCTTGGTGCGTGGAGAGCAGGGCAGATGGGTTGAGTGACTTGCCAAGGTCACTCTCTTTTAAGAGATGGGGCTAAGAAACATTTGGGACTTGAGTCTTTGGAAGGAAAGAGGAGAGGAAACAGGCCCGTGCTGCCCAGCCAGTAAGCATCAGAGCTGGCACACATGCACTGGTGGGTTTGAGTTCAAGGCTTGCACAGAGGGAACCGTGTGAGTGTAAGAAAGTAGGCAGGTGTGGGCATGGCTGAGCAGGTGTGGGTGCTAGGAGTGGGGCGAGTGTGCTGAGTACAGACATGAGCATGCTGCTGGGGGGAGGCGGGTGGGTGGGAAGGTGTGAGCTGGGCTGGGGCTCGGTGAGTGGTGTGCACAGGGCTGAGTGAGCAGAGACGAGCAGAGACGTGACTGAGTGAAGCTGGAGGGAGAGAGATGACCCTTTCCCCAGGGGCAGCTGAGTTGGGCTAGCAATGAGGAGCCTGATCCTGGGGTTCTGCCCCCCTTGCACCCTCACCCCAGCCTGGTCAGGCCTGGCCACCCACCTGTACTGTCATCATAGACCACGGTGGCCGACCGCCACTTGAGGTACTGAACCAGGTCAAGGATGGCGTGGCTGAGAGAGGCGTAGTCAGGATAGAGGTTCACGTAGAAGGTGTCCTTGTTGTCCAGCGGGTGGTGCTTCCAGCGCAGCTGGATGTGGGGCACCTCCAGGGCATTGCAGATGGACTGGACGGCATTGGTGCAGGAGCCCTGCGATGGCCCGAAGATCGCCACCACGCCCAGCGCCAGCTGGTCACAGGCTGCAGCAGAGGGAGGGAAGGATGCACAGGGGTCAGTGCTGGGTCTTGTTAGGCAGCTGGGGTCCAGGGCCCTGGGGCAATGGTTTTGCTGGTCCCATAAACACATGGGCAAACAGCCCCTGAAAACCCTCTGAGGCTGGATGACGGATAATACTCTTTCTGAACATCCGTTTCCTCATCTGGAACCAGGGTTGCCATAGTGCCTGCCTCATGGGCTCATAAGAAGTTAAACAGGATAATGCACTTAAGCCCCTCAGCAGAGAGCTCATGAAAGAGAAATGATGATTTTTGATGTTCTCATCGTCGTTAGCATCCCCAGCTCTATATCAGGCCCTGTTCTGGGTGGGAACTTGAGAAACAAATATAAATAAAATACTGGCTGGTGACTTAAAATCCAATGTGATTGTCTCACCCCTTGCTCAACACTACCATTTGGTTGTCACTGATGCACTTCAGACCTAATGTGTCCAAAATGCAACCCCTTCTTCTCTTCCCAACCTTTCCCATGTTGGTAAATGGCAATCCCACGCTCCCACCCAGTGCCCTATGTCAAAAAAACCTGGTTCTATCTTGACTCTCATCATACTCTCATATCCCACATCCCAATCCATCAGCAACTCTTGCTGTTTCATCTTTGAAATATATCAGAATCCAACCACGTCTCCCCACTCCTACCCTGATTCCAGCCATCGTCCTCTTTCACTGGGATTCCTGCAGAAGGCCCCTCGCTGGTTCCAGCTGCCTCAGTAACCCGCTCTACCATCTAATCTGCACTCAGCAGCTCGAGTGAGCCTTTCACAACTTGAGAGTGGATTACATCACTTCTTTGTTCCACTCAGGGTAAAAGCCTGTCCTAAGGGCGACCAACAAGGCCCTATTTGTTGTAGCTCCTCCCCACCCCTGTTTCCAACATCACCTACTAATTTTCTGACTTCCTCTTCCATCCTTCCTTCCTATCCTGACAGCCCTCAAGCCCCACAGGCTCCCATGATCTTTCTCACACACACTAAGCACAATCCTGCCTGAGGGCCTTCTGGCTGGACTGTTCTTTCCTCAGATCCACATGGCTCCCTCCCTCCTTTCTTTCAGGTGTCTGTGTGTGTGCGCCTTAATAGAGAGGCATCACTACCCAATCCATAATAGCAATCCCATCCAGCCACGGTCCCTCAACCCCATACCCTGCTTTCCTTCCGTGTTAAAGACCACCAGAAGTCTTGTTCAATTGTTGACTTCTTTTCCAACTTGAACATAATAAGTTCCAAGGAGGCAAGGGCTTGATCTATGTTGTTTATTGCTGTACCCACAGTGCTTTAAACTGCTGATCTGAGTAGGTACTTAATCAACATCTGCTGAGTGAACAAATGCTGAATCCTTGACTTCAAACAGTTCACATTCTTGAGGGAGGCCCAAGGGCTCAGGCAGATCAGACAGCAGATGCTTCTGGGAAGGCCAAACCTCAGTGGACACAGCACAACATGAACTGAGCAGACCCAGGGCAGCTGGGGTTCACAGGGGGACATAGGCTCATACAAGGATTGTGCCTGAAACATCCATAAAATGAACCTCTCAGGGGCATCAGGGGGAAGGCTCCCCAGGAGTTTCTTCTGGAAACTGTCCCTACTTCTCCTTTGGGCTCCATTGCTTTTGTCACTCCCAACTCATGAGGGGTGGGCTAGTGATTTAGAGACTAGGCTGACCTCACCCAGGCCATAACAACTGGTTTAGAGAATGATCATGTGACCAATCAGAGCCAATGGGATGCCATGAGACCTCAGGCATTGGGAAGGGGGCACAGTCCCTCTGTAACTGGATCTGGAAGGAGGTAAGATCAGGAGTACAGTAGCCACCTTTTGTGGTGCTTGTTTGTGAACACAGTCAGTGTCGAGATGAGCAGAGCCAAGACAGAGAAAGAAATATGAGCTCCCGATCAAGTGGAAGCCTGGAGTTTGGTGACATGAACCAATATATTATTTTTGCTTATCCAGTTAGGATTTGGTTTTTGTCACTTGCAACCCGAAGAGTCTTAACTGAAGAGCATCAGCAAACTCACTAGCCTGTGGCCATGAGAATGAACTACATGCACCTGTATGAACATAAGATGATTGTAGGAGAAGGCAAGACAGAGTGCATGGATACCCAGTGGATTCAATGCATCCTAGCTGCCTCAAGGGCCTCTGGGAATGACCTCTGGCCTTAGGTCCACCCCTAACATCTGTAGTGCCCAAGGCCAGAGTACAAATGGAGACCCATATACCATATGGCTAAATAGTTAAATGTTATAAGCTGACAAACTTTTATATAAAACATGCTTTGCCCCACTCCCAACCTGACAACATGCCTTCATAACAACGTGAGGCAGGATAGAACAGCCTGGAAAATGAAGATGGGAACTTACCATGCAGTAATGTGGGGAGAGATGGCACTCCCCCATCCTGTCCCCTTCTGTTTGACCACTTGCTCCCCCGTGTATCAGAAGGGGCTGTCCATACCTCTCCCATGTCACCCTTAGATAGGGCCTATAAGTGTGACCATGGCAGCATGGTTCCCCTCTGTAGACAGCTCAGGGAAGAGACTCATGCAGACTACTGGGCAGGAAATTCAGGGTTCTGGATACTTGGAGCAAATATTAATGGGGCAAGGCACAGAGTCTTAATAGGTAAATCCCTTTGGTCCCACTGACCCCTGGGATGTCGAGCAGAAGAAGACAAGGGCAACATCTTCAAAGCACAGGTCCTGGGAAAGGACCCCTCTTGACTGGACTAAGGGTGGTACCAATGGATCCAGGGATCCAGGGTAGTTTCGAATCAGTTAGAATGTGTGATCTTTGATCATTTTCCCTCTCCACTGATGTGCTCTCTCCTCCTTCACTGCTTCCTGGGACTAGGAGATATTAGTCTGGTATATATTGTAAAATGCTTATTGTCCCTGAAAAATGTTCCCCTTAAAAACACCAGAGAATGCCATTCATGGCTTACATGAAAGATATTGCACTCTGGGAGGTGGGCTGGTGATTGTTAGGAGTCTGCAGAACCACCTGGAACACTGGACAGGACAGCCCTATATGGGAAGCAGCGGGGCCTGTACAGAGAGAACATTTCCTGGGTCACCAGGACTCCTCCTGACCAATGCCAAGTTTGGGAGAGGATGCACAGTGGGGCTCCCGGGCTCCCGTGGGACTGGAAGTCAAATCCCTGTATTGTCACCCTAGAGTCAATAAACTTTAGCAGCACTCTTTATGGTGACTGTGTGTGAGAGACAAACTCCACTGATAATAAGTGCTTCAAAAATAGGAACTCGGGGTGTGTTAGTAAATTGTCCCATTTAGGGACAGTTTTTCTTTTCAGTGTCTTTGTCCAAGGAAGTTGATCCTTGACCTGTACTCTCACTGTCCATGCATGCTGTTCTCCTGCTGTCTGGGTGTGCAGGTGTCTGCTCTCATCACTTTGTCCCCTTAAGAGCAGGTGCTGCCTGAGGGAAGAGACTATGCATGAGTCACTTTGTAGCCACAGAGGCTGGAAACCAACATGGAGGAGATGGTAACAGTAAGGAAGTGACAGCTGCCCAAGCCAGAAGTCAAGGGAACCTGATAAAACCTGCAGGTTTCTTTAATGCTCTACTTCCTGCCTCTGTTTTGAACCTTCTATCGATAGTTGTCCTCTGAAATCCCTGGTTTCATCCCATCATCTCCTGTCTCTAATCTTTCTCTTTTCCTTTGAGAAACTTTAAATGATGACTTAGTCAAATGACTTGTGTGTCTCATTTCCTCTCACTATCATCTCCCAGAACCTGTGTTTTGGATTTCCCCCTTTGATCTAAGTCTTGAGGCAGGCAGGCAGCATATGCTTCCCTTTCACCCCCACCCTCATCCAGCTCAACCTCTTAGATCATGGCCCCCTGCAGGTCCAAGGTCTGGGTATCCCTGTTTAACTGAGGTAGGGGAGAGTGGACCAACCACAAATTATGATGATGTGGAGGATTGTAAGAGTGATCTTGAAGGAGAATGGATAGATTGGGTATAGTTATACAATGGATTTTGACATTGATTGTAGTGATAATGGTAAAGGTAACTGTAATGATAGTCATAACAGTAAAGACCATATCATGGGGCTGTTGTTGATCCTGGTGATACCATTAATGATAGATGGTGATAAATATGTTAATACCATGACAGTGACTGTTATGATGATGGTAGAAATAATAATGGCGATATAAACATGGGTAAGAGGGGAGGGGATAGGAATTTTGACGGTGTTGATAAGATTGGTGATGATGAAGATGTCAATGCCATAACTGCAACTGAAGATAATGTTGGTAAGAAATGATGGTGGCAATGTTAGCGAAGATGAGATTGGTGATAATAGAGATGCTGCTGTCATGGCAGTGATAGTGATGATGACAGTGGTGGTGTTGAGGCTAAGAGTAGAGATAAAACCATGGTTGATGTTTCATCAACCATGTTACATAACAGTAACTGTGTTGATGGTGCACTGGTGTTGACAGTGGTATTGATATTGTTGATATGAGGATGACCACACTGGGTTTCATTCTGCCAGAGATGTAGTAATTAGATCTCACTATTGGGTGGCAGGAGGCATCAGTTCTGCCTTTCACCTTTTCTCCTCCATGGCCTTCCTTTGCACCCCTTTTCTTGTTCCCTTCATGTTTCTTCCACCCTCTAATAATCTCCAAGTCTGGAAGAACCCTGTTTTCTCAAAGGGACCATGACAGGGGTTATAGTAGTAGTAGTAGCAGCAGCAGCAGCAGCAGCTTTATCTCCAGATGTTTCCAGGGCAGCAGCCAACCCTTGTTCTGGCAGCCCTGAGCACACACTGCAGTAATTACATTATTTGTGGCTTCAATTTTAAATCCATTTTCTGGTCATTTTACAGTAACTCAATGGTTCACAGTCATTGCAGGAGTCCACAGCCTGAATGCACTTCCCCCCTCCTCCTTTCCATGGCAATTGTAGTTATAGCAAAAATTATCCCAATCAATTTGTG